TTTTGTTGACCTTTGTCCATGGAAGGTCCCTGCAAAATTTCATTGAAATTGGTTCAGGGGTTTTGGAGAAGAAGTCGAAAATGTAAATTGTTTACGGACGCACGACGGACGACGACGGACAAAAGGCGATCGCAATAGGTTACTTGAGACTTTGTCTCAGGTGACCTAAAAATGTATCTCTTAAGTGTTTTCCAAAGTCAAAACCTCAAGTCCTGTACAATATCAGTTCCTTACTGTCGCTGAAACCCATCCGAAAATTTGGTTAAGCATATTATGAATTTTGATATAAGTAGACAGTAGAGGTTCTAAATAACATATCTAAACACCTTGTATGTTTTCTATGCTTTTGAAAATTTCTTTGTGCATTTACAACTTAAGACTCATAGGAAATTACTATACATCACTTACATTTTTTTCTTTTTCAACATTAGTAATAAAAATAAGACTGTGAAATCAAATATGTCATATTATACAAACATTTACTGAAACACATAATTTGTCAAAATAATACACACAATGAGTATTGCAGTTTTAACATTAAGTTCTTCCAAGCCGTCAGAAAATTACGATATTTACCAACAGTCCTCTCCGCAACTTCTTTTACAAATATGTCCAACAGTTTGGGATTCCATGCTTTCGTTTGAATGTGCAGGATTTGTCTTCTTGCCTATTATGAATTTAAACAATCGATTAATAAATTTATAGTGTTATCAAAACTTTTTAATTAGTAAAATATTTCTCCTACGTTAGTTAAGACAGAAAGTAATTGGATAACATTAAAGTCTGATAAAGAAAATTGAGCAGCATAGATAGATTTTTTTAAACTATTAAAGGAATGTGTTGGAACACTAGTATATATATTAAACATTATTAGAAGTCAGAACTATTAATATCAGACTTATGTCAAAACAATATATAACAATAGGTGTCAGAGCACTATTTCAACTACCTACTGGTCTGAAAGCATGTGTACCTAATGCACAACAGTACATGTAATTAGACAAACACAAACACATTGCCAAGTGCCGTAACAGCAGGCCTTTGTAAGGAACTGATTAAAGCTATTGATTTTTAAGTATTTTATCAAATTAAATTAAAACTGCTGCAGAATATAAAATAATCATAAGTCTAAAAAATACTGACTGGAATATTACTGTCCCAATCAAACTATTGTAGACTCAACATACATGTCTGAACTGCATTGTAGCAATGCCATATGTATTTATCTTACCTTATCATATGTAAGTAATCACTTACTTCAATTATGTTTTATTTCATGAGTTTATAGTAAATATATGTGCAAACCATATACCTACCTCTTGTGAAGGTAGCGGGAAGAGAAATTCTCTGTCGAATCTCCCCGGTCTCCTCAAGGCAGGGTCTATCGAGTCAATGCGATTAGTGGCCCCTATGACCACAATCTCGCCACGACTGTCCAGTCCATCCATCAAGGCCAAGAGGGTAGACACTATGGAGCTATGGATCTGGTCCTGTCGACTTGACCGGACAGGAGCCAAACCGTCAATCTCATCAAAAAAGATAATGGAGGGCCTCATCTGGTAAGCCTTCAATTTAGAGAAAAAAAAGCAGCAGTTGTTTAGCTAAATTATGATACAAGAATGTGATCAACCATGATATCTTGAGAGGTAATATTTTTAGATAAAATGCAGGAGGATATCAGTTTCCATTTTAACATTTATAATAATATTAATTGGTATTTAAAAAATTCCAGAAGATTCCAGACAAATATTTATAGAATTTTTAGTTGAATCAAAATTAACGAAAATAAAATTCAGGACAGTGGTATTGCAGACAGGTGTTTCAAAAGGATTTTAAGTTGTGAGTGTTCAACACAAAGTAGGCAGCTAATTTCAGTACATTTCGAAGAACCTCATTACCATTCTTCTCCTCATTTTTTTTCAATGAAAATATCTGTAGTAGGAGGGAATTTTTACTGGCTACTGGCTTCAAATAAACCCTCTGAATAGATAGTATATTTGCAACATTTGAAAGTAATTTGAAAGTATGTGTACCTGGTCAAAGAGCAGTCGTAGCTGTCTCTCTGATTCGCCGACCCATTTTGACAAACAATCAGCTCCTTTTCTCATGAAGAAGGCGACCCTTTTTTCACCTGAGCTACATTCATTAGCAAGAGCTCTAGCCACCAGTGTTTTTCCAGTTCCTGAAATATCAAAATTGAATTTTAAAGTAAACCTCAAGAGGGTTGCTGTTTTTAATCACGACTGAATGATACCTCCTACATTTACACTTACAAGTAAATAACAAGTAGCTCAATATTTCATACACCTCATTTTCTGGCAAGTTGGTATTCATATCCTAGTTCAAAACTTTTTAAATACAAAACTGTGAAAAAGATTTAAATGTGATTGAAACGTCTTGCTCTTGAAAAGCTGTAATGGATGTGGCAAGCCAATACACAAAACCTACAGAGTTACATGGAAAGAAATCTTACCTGGAGGGCCATAAAAAAGGCAACCCCTTGGTGGACTGATTTTGAATCTTTCAAACACCTCTGGATACAGTAATGGGAATACAACCATTTCCTTCAAAGCTCTCACATGCTTTCCAAGTCCACCGACACTTTCAAATGTTGTCTGCAGAGGAAACAAACGAAAGTGGAAACAAACCATAGGCTCATTACAGTTTAGGTATTTATTTTGGCCATAACAAAACATTATTGCTCCGATATTATGTATTTGATCACAATAAAACATCATGCCCATACATACATTGATTTTGACTAGGGATTCCAATGCTAGAGTAGTAAAGCAGAATCAGTAAACCTATCATACGACATTGTAGCTGTAGGTGAATCTCATTACTTTTACTAAATTTGATACCACTAGCAGTACATAGATTTATTTTGAATGGTGAGTTTTGATTCTAGAGATGTGTAGCAAAAATCAATAAATCTACCATTCAAAATTGTAGCTGTCACAGAAACTTAGTCTCAAACTCGAATTTCTCCAATACCTTGTTTATCAAAAAGATTCTGATGTATTAAATCTTAAATACCAATTTGTTCAACATCCAAAGTCTATGACATTAGGAGGTTTCTATGTATTTTACACCTTGACATAAATGACATCTTTTACATTGTTGTGTACTCGGTATGAACCAGATACCCTCTTTGGCCACTTTAGACAAAAATCTGCATTGTATAGATATTCTTTGATGTCATGGTGGTGGTTTTTTTTTATCATTTTTTTGTCAAGAAGTTACCACAAAAGAAAGAAGCATACCGATCTGTCCACACTCATAGGGTCCACATCAGCAAGGCTTGACCCAATCTTGGCACGATCACGAAGAACTCCTGACATATTGACCTCCTCAGAAGACATATTCATAGGCAAGCATTGATTTCTTGCCTTCGCCATGCTTTTTGCCTTTCTGCGTTTGAAGCGTTCTTCATCACTTGAGTCATCACTAGATGAGGATGAAGACGACGAGGTACTGGAGTTACCATGGTATGCTGCCTTTCTTCGACTGAAATAACAAAGCAATGATTTAGGAAATTATAAACAATGGAGCTTAACATTGGGTTACTTACTGTCATTTGCAGACCAGGCAATATACCTACAAATGTACAGGATATGATAATCATATATGAACTTCATTTTTCAATCACAGGTGGTATAATTTCTAAACATTTCCTCAGGTTGGTAAGCATGGATTATGAAAAGGGTTTTTTACACAACCAATACACTTTTCTATGTGATGTTTCCATGACTAGTACGATATGTACACTGTCACCTTCATCAGACAAATGACTAGTAGCTGAATTGAGTCATTTCGGTACAATTGTACATCAATTGTACATACGCTTACAGTGTAGTCGAATCAACATCGATTTTGTGGACAACTCGTACACATTTTATACCTTTGTGTGCATAGGCTTCACTGGTCATTTGTCTGATGAAGGTGCCACTGTACATATCGTACTAGTCATTGAAACATCACATTTTCATAAAACAGGTGGTATTAATTACAAACTTTCGATACCACTCAAAATAATCTCCAAACTATTTTTAATGTAAAAACAGGTGTACAAGTTCATATTTAAAGTAATAAGCAGTCAAAAAAAAGGTTGTACTTGCCCAACCAAAGAATATACCACAGTACCAGATTTAACCCCCCAACCTGAAAGTAATATTCTTAATATTCCTGAGAATGTGGATTGGAAAAATAAGAAGTCAGCTCTCTGGAAGGATTTAACGCAAACATTATACAGTACATATGTTTAAACTGTTATACCAACACATTATCACATCACTAGTATATATACCCCACAGGCTTTGTCCGGTGCGCGGGAGATCGGTACACTTCATTTTTCCTTCGCTTCTCAATAGGGGAAGGTGGTGACGCATCCCTGAATATACTAACTCTGGTTTTTCTTTTTTCTGTTATAACAGAGAATGTGAAAGAATTATACATTTTTTCACAAATCATGATTAAATTTAATTTTGAACATTTCCACAAACCAATACAGAACTAATATAAACTTATCAGATAAAATTAATTTATTGATCCCCCTTTTCAGGATAATATATTAATGTAAAAGTATTTAATAGTACATTCCAGATTTCAAGCATAGATATTACCAATTGATTGTGCTTTCGGCGTTAAAATATTTTATGATGACATCCCTGATGTGGACTTACCAATTGGTACCTCGAAGAGCTGAGTACGGGGTTTGTACTCCCTTAGATTGTACGAACGCCGTGGGGGTGCATCATCTTCTTCTTCTTCTTCTTCTTCCTCATTGTCTTCCTCCTCATCATCACCTTTTTGTTTCAAACAAAAATTATTAACAATTTTAACATATTTTGGCACCTTTTCACCATAATGTTTAAGTGAATTAAAAAAAGGGTTTCCATTTTCAAATCTGTCCTATCAATGACAAAGTTTGATATTTGATTAAAATCTCACGCAGTGTATACATCATAGCTCTGCTATTATTTCATAATTACTTACCACTTTCCTTTTCCTCCCTATTTTCCTCCTCCTCCTCTTCATTATTCTCATCATCAGAATCATCCGAGTTTTCCGACTCTGATTCTGGGATAGGAATGCCATACATATCTCGCTTAATAGATCGTCTCACTCGCTTCACTCGGCTATACATGTCCTCTCCTTTCTACAAAGATTTAATAGGAATTTGTTAAAGATCATTACTGTCTACTTATTAACTGGCATATGCAAGATTTAAGGATTGAAAATCAATATGATACTATTTTCATGCTGCACTCATCTTGTTATGTCACTACCAGACAGACATATTTTAATAGTCTACATTGGTACTTTTCATTTTTACAATAACAATTTTGTAACATTTTTGAAGGATAACATTATTTCAATGTGCGTGCAATGTGTACTAAAAAGGATATGTGCCACCAATAAACAGTCATCAAACACAATGTTTTAACTAAGTTTACATGTTTAAATTTTAAAAAGAATGTTGAAGACTTGCCGAAATATCTCACAAAAGTCACTCATCTGTCAAAGAGTTGCAGTACTTCGGTCATTTTAAACATTTAAGTACAAATCATAAAATGGACGAAAAAATATTGGCGGTGCACATCTTCCGTGTATGTGATTACATCTGTAAAGTTTCCATAAAGTTGTCTGGACAGGCTACGGTCTACAGAAGGATGGACAGACAACCTGATTCCAGTAAGCCTACTCCCTACTTCTCTATAGTGGGTAAAATTAACTCACCTCATCAGCAACAGGTTGAACCTCCATAGTCTTCCTTTTCCTTGGCCGATCTTCATCTGCAAATACAGGCACACCATCTAGATACAAGACTTTATCCAGCATCTTCTGATCAAATGTACCATATACTAACTTCTTTTGTCTGCTACTGCGACGTACAGCAGCATCGCCACCGTCAATATCACCATCTATACTGCTATGTCTTTTTCCAATTTTTGTCTGCCTTCTCTTTGTTGAAACTAAGGACGTATTACATATAAATGGGTATTTTTCACACATCATAGTTTTTTAATTACAACCACAGATTTATCAGAGTAGTTAGTTAGAATTTACAACCACAGATTTATCAGAGTAGTTAGTTAGAATTTACAACCACAGATTTATCGGAGTAGTTAGTTAGAATTTATCAACAAAAAAAAGGAATATTGTGAAATTCAGCATTTGCTAAATTGTTTTATCAGTTTAAAATGACACATCCTCACGTGAGGCCCTAGCTACACATGTAAATCATATGTACAATCACTAAACAAGACCAAAACAAAACCTTCACTTTTTAAATTTGGGAATTCGAAAAGGGAAGGGTGATAACTCAGTTTATAAACAATCAAAGGTACTGACCAGAAACAAATAACTCCATTAATTTACGGTACATGCAGACAGTTTGACAATAATTGCATGGAATGAACATCATAAAGAACTATGAAATAAACTAGAAAACGTCTGTAAGACATAAATGCCCCCGCTGCCATGTGAAATTAGTTTCAGTTTTCTATAAAAAGTAACAACCACTTTGATCTTGATACCCTGAAACATGCACACACACAAGGTACTACACTTAAAGTTGAAAAGTTGATTTTAATATTCATGTTTTTTTCTGTATGTTATTACCATCCTGAAACACAAGGATGTCAGAGGTATACCCATATTTGACCTATATACATGAAAGAATGAAGTTGCTAAGTGTTTAAATTGAATCAGTTGATGATTTTCTATATAAAGCAAGTGACCTTGGCTATGACCTTGGAACCTTGAAACACAACAATGTTCGAAGTATACTCATACTTGATCTTTGCATTAAGTTTGACCAAAATCCATGAAAGAATGAAGTTGCTAAGTGTTTAAATTGAATCAGTTGATGATTTCCTATATATAGCAACAGCGACCTTAGCCTTGACCTTGGATCCTTAAAACACAATGATGTCCGAAGTATACTCATACTTGACCTTTGTATAAAGTTTGACAAAAATCCGTAAAAGAATGAAGTCGCTAAGTGTTTACATTGAATTTGGATGCAACGCGATGGGATGGACATGGGCAACACTATATGAAAATACAAAATAGTGTAATAATATTATTTAATATTATAAAGGGCAATAACTCTGTAAGTTACTGTCAAATAATTCCCATTTTCCACCTCATTTGAGATCTTATTGATATAAGGCTGCATACAAAGTTTCATCAAACTTGGTTGATAATTACTTAAGTTATCATGTTCACAAGGTCCAATAATAATATTATTACAAAGGGCAATAACTCTGTAAAATACCGTCGAATAATTCCCATTTTCGAACTCGTCCGAGATCTTTTTTGATATATGGCTGCATACAAAGTTTCATCAAACTCGGTTAACATTTACTCAAGTTCTTGTGTTCACAAGGTCCAACAATAATATTATTACAAAGGGCAATAACTCTGTAAAATACCGTCGAATAATTCCCATTTTCGAACTCGTCCGAGATCTTTTTTGATATATGGCTGCATACAAAGTTTCATCAAACTTGGTTATTATTTACTCAAGTTATCGTGTTCACAAGGTCCAATAATAATAATATTACAAAGGGCAATAACTCTGTAAGTTACTGTCCAATAATTCCCATTTTCGAACTCTTCTGAGACCTTATTGACATATGGCTTCATACAAACTCTGTTAACATTTACTGAAGTTATCGTGTTTACAAGGAAAAGTTAACGCACGACGACGTACAAAAGGCTATCACAATAATAAAACCTCAAAACAAATATTGATCATAATCTCTCTGTCTTAATCTATTTACCATAGTCTAGGGATACAAGCATACCACAATTTTTTCTACACTTTACCTTCATCATCTTCGCTATCATCATCAGCACTGGAAATAACTAGCCTGAAATAAAAAAGATAACAATACAATTTTATAAACTTAAATGTGGAACCTGGTTTTAGATTTTGCCATTATACTGACATGAACTATTGCATTAGACATTTCAATGAACCCCGAGAGCTATGTTGGCTAGGTACAACCACACCAGACTGGTTGAGGGGGAGGAACCAGACAAAGAGCAATCTACACTCCCTTTTATACCAGAGATTTTCCTATTTGCAATTGAAGCAAATGACAAGTGTTTAACGGCACATTAACAACAGTTTGTATAACATAGTGACACCCAATTGCAGCAGTAGGGATCTTATCTTTTCCTATCTTAATTTACATTCGCAGTCTTTATACTCTGACCATGGCCACCTCCCTTGGCATCGTCTCATTTCTAGCTACTTTGCTACCCTGTGATGAAGATGATGGACTTTTTTCCCAGGCTGGGACATACAAATCCTTATAAATCGTAGTTGTTATTCCCTGCTACATGTTCTGCATTTAGGGTAATTATAATGACTGGTTTATCTGTTGTCAATATATTGCTGGTTGCCTTCAGTGTGACTAAATTAAAGTCAACATCTTACCTGTGCCATTGCTAGTAAGCAAATGTCGACATACTGCCTCTCACACACCTGAAGGTTAGACATCCTTAAACTACCTTAGCTGTCACTAAGATACTAAACCCAATGAACAGATCATCCATAGAGCTAGATGTTACTTTCAGCAGCCAGGTTTCTAACAGCGTGTAGTAGTGTAAAGGTAGTAAATATTTAACAAGTCCTCTGGAACTGTCTGTATGTTGTAGAGCCAAAATAGTGCAAGTCTTTAAAACATGCATGATAAAAACACCTGAAAAAGCATTTTTGTAGAATCTCGGCTATACAATTTTCAGTTTTATATTCATGACAGGAGACAAATGTCATGCATGCAGTGTTTTCGCCAGGAGTTATTTGGATGTGCTATGGTAATTTGGTATTAAATAATCTGGTATAATATTTTTCCTTCGACTGAACCACAACACTACGAACTATTTCTGCATAGCGACCCATTTATCATGCACAATGCCATTTTCAGAAAGAAAGCTCAAAACAAGAGTATAGCTGATGTTGGTCAATTTTAGATAAATAACATTATTTAATAATCTTGACATCGCATTTTTATTGCTCATTTTCTTTTTCTGTATCATTGTATTTACTTTAACTGCAAACAAAATAGTCTGACTCAAGAAAATTCATAATTTTAGCAAATTTCATAGTTTTTTATATACAGCTAAGCAAAACTTCCAAGAAATAATGAAATATAGAATGTCTGAGAAAAAGAACTAATAATTACATTCCAACCAATGACTTATATTTTGACAGATTATTTATTTAATTTGATTTAAAAAGATTTTTTGTATGATTCATTAAATTTTTAAAACAACATGGCCGCCATGTGCAGTATGTATTCTCACTTGTGATGTATTTTATAGTAGCTTAAATGATTTCAAGATATCTCAAAATTGTATTCTCATATGCAGCACAGGAAGATCAGCAGACGTTTTACTTTTTCTGAATACAAAGCTAAGTCTGTACTTCTGTATATGTATTTCCTCTTTTTGATGTATTTGTGGGTAACGTGTGAAAATCAAAACGTAGACTGAAGCCTTGATTAATAGACATCACTAATGAGACAAATCACACTGTTAATTGTGGTCTATTGTTCACTTCCCCACAGGTTGATCTACCCGCAGAGATTGTCAATCGGGGTGTCGCTCCTAGAGAACAATAGAAAGCTAGTCTAATGAGGGTGAATTCTTATTGAGCAGGGGAGAAGAGGTTATTAAATTGTAAGAACTTGATTTTCCGGTCGTATTGGTGTTGTCATATACATGAGTAAGAGTAAAATTCTGGTGCGTAACAGCTCATAATTCATGCCTAACAGGCCTGTTTTTTAAATGCTAAAACAGCCACTGGCATGTTCTTGGTATACTGTACCTTCTAGGGGGGCGACCCCTGGGTCTGCCAGACGATGATTTTTGCTCTTGATAATGTGCTATTTCTCTCTTTGTTATATGAACTACACCACTGTCATCACTGTTCTCATCATCCTATTAACAGACAAGGTATATATTACTAAAATGCTAAAACCACATTAGTTAACAGTACAAGTCAGGTGACGACCAACATGGTCCACTAAATAAAAATATAGAAACTTTATTTATTTTACAACAATTATAAAACAAGTTATGTTAACTTATTTTTATTACTCTTGTTGATCCACTAAGGCTAACCAAAACTGCAGACTCCAAAATTCTGATCAGTTGCCTGTTTATGGTCAGCTATCTACTCCAGTATCTGTTGTTGGGACATGGTATGTAGTCAAGTAATCATGAGTGAGGCATGAATTTATTGACATAGGTATTAAACATTTTTCTCCAGTACACCCATAAAATATAACTAGTCCGTTCGCATGGAGAAGGTACAACCACGTGGTCTGATATATATTTTCTTAAATTTACAGTCTTGTTGCAGTACTTATCTAGTACTCTTAAAAAATCTGACCCTCTAACCCCTTCTTCCCTCTCTCTCTCCTCCCCTCTCACCATCCCCCTATCTCTCTCTCTTCCTTTATCTACATGTGCATGTTTATATTTGTGCGCATGCGTGTGGTTCGGTGCGTGAATGTGTGGGTGTATGTATGTCACTGATTAATTAATTTATAATACATAGCTTATTTACGTAGTTCTGCCATCATGGAATTTGGTTAAAAAATATATTATTATACAGGGAAAGGGCTTGATATAAGTTGTAAAACTTGTGCCCAATTCCATTGCTATGTAAAAAAAAGCAATAAATATGTTTAAATAACAAAAAAAATATGTAAACAAGAGGCCCAAGGGCCTTAGCGGTCACCTGAGTAATATCATAGGTACTGGTAGCTTTATTTTATTGTTTAGATGTGATGTGGAAATCAGCATGTAAACTAAGTGAAATACAATACTTGTCATGTCATCAAAGGATAAGAATTTGAAAATATTGGTAAATGTTCTCTTTGGGGCCCCGCCCTAGCCCCTGGGGAGGGGGCAGGAATCCCAATTTTACAAAGTAATACTCTCATTCACCAAATATGATTCTGACTAAGTTTGAGTAATTTTCTCCTGAAAATGGATAAAATATACCCAAAAGTGTTATTTCCCTATATAAACTATAGTAAACTTTACCCCCTCCCCAAGGGACAACAGATAGCTTGAGGGTCCTGAAATTTACGATTTATATAAAGCCCCTGATGATTTTCTTTCCATGCAGAGAAAATGAATGTAGTACCTCTGAGTCTGGAGAAATAGATTTTTGAAATATTGGTTAATTTTCCCTTTGGGGCCCCGCCCTGGCCCCAGGGGTTGGGGTAGGAATCTCAATTTTACAATTTGAAATCATCTTCTTCAAAGGATAATTCTCAGCAAGTAAAAATAATTTCCTACAGAAAGTTGTCAAAATATACCCAAAAGTGTTTTTTCCCTATATAAACTATAGTAAACTTTACCCCCTCCCCAAGGGAGAACAAATAGCTTGGGGGTCCTGAAATTTACAATTTAAGTAAAGCTACTGATGATCTTTCTTTCCATGCAGAGAAAAGGACTGTAGTACCTCTGAGTCTGAAGAAGAAGATTTTTGAAATATTGGTTAATTTTCCCTTTGGGGCCCCGCCCTGGCCCCAGGGGTTGGGGTAGGAATCTCAATTTTACAATTTGAAATCATCTTCCTCAAAAGATAATTCTCACCAAGTAAAAATAATTTCCTACAGAAAGTTGTCAAAATATACCCAAGTGTTATTTCCCTATATAAACTATAGTAAACTTTACCCCCGTCCCAAGGGAGAACAAATAGCTCGGGGGTCCTGAAATTTACAATTTAAGTAAAGCTACTGATGATCTTTCTTTCCATGCAGAGAAAAGGACTGTAGTACCTCTGAGTCTGAAGAAGAAGATTTTTGAAATATTGGTTAATTTTCCCTTAAGTAGCCTCATTTACCAAGGATGTTTCTGACCAAATTTGAAAAAAATCCATCCACTGGTTCTTGAGAAGTTGAAAATGTAAAAAGTTTACGCACGACGGACAGCGATTAGAATAGGTCACTTGAGCAAAACCAATAAAATAAACTCTTAGTTCTCACAATCACTTTTGCCAAATTATGGTGCTTTTATAAAGTGGTAGATAATGGCCATAAATAGACCATTATTTAGGATTTTGGAGCCAGTGATTAAGGTCAGTTTTAGGGGGCTAAATAAGACCAACAAAGACAGTCATCTTCCTCTTCTTTTAGTAAGAGATGAATCTCCAAGGATGGAGCGATTACCGTCTCCGGTGGAGGGAATAAACTCTCAGGTAAAGTAAAGTAAATATATGTACAATTTAAAGATTGCTTTGCCGATGTTCAAATTAGGGAGGTTGAAAGTAAACAGTGAGATTGTTTTTAAAGGAAAGAATAAGATTCAGCTATGTGTGAAAGCAATTTTAAATTATTTCAATCAGTGATTGTGCGAGGGAAATATGAGTACTTAAAAAGATCTGTATGTGTGTGTATATGTCTAAACCTGTGCAAGCCTTAAGTTCTTCTTTCCGATTACAATAGAATGGATGTACCAGAAGAGGAAAACTGCATGGCCAGACCGGGGTTCTGACCCTCGACCTTCCAAACTCCAGACGGGTGCTCTGCCAATTGAGCTACCTGGTTGCCGACGATCGACCCAGTTCAGTTCCGCTACATTCCTCTCTCCTTTTTTTAAGTCTTCGCCCCAAAGACAACACAATTTATAACCCAGGTTCGAGTATTCCCTTGTCAAGCATTCATCTAGTACTTGGAACAAGTGTTGGTCACAGGCACTGTATGATACTGTGCCTGTGACCGACACTCTGTACCGTACTGTTTGTAGAGAAGTTAGAGTGCGATGATTCGCTCTGTACCGTACTGTTTGTATAGAAGTTAGAGTGCGATGATTCCCTCTGTACCGTACTGTTTGTATAGAAGTTAGAGTGCGATGATTCGCTCTGTCCCGTACTGTTTGTAGAGAAGTTAGAGTGCGATGATTCACTCTGTACCGTACTGTTTGTATGGTTTTCTTTATTTTGTAGAGATAATTAAATTTTAGTGTATGTAGTGTATTGTTCACTGCATCTTGTGTCTTGTCAGTATAATTTTTGAAGATGTATCCTGCCGCTTTGCGTTTCATTTGCTCAAATTTGTCTTATGTGTGTCTGTTTGTAGTGATCCCATGCAAGTAATGCATATTGTAGTTGTGGTCGCACTTATGATGTGTATGTTAGGTGACTTTTCATCATTTAGGGTGTTGGAATTGTACCTGCTGCCCCCATTGCATGATCGTAAGAGGCCACTAAATATGGGATCTTAAGTTTCTCTCCTTTCTAAACAACTTTCTTCTTCCTAATGTCTCCCTTGACAATGCCTCACTTTTGGCCCTAGTTGAGTGTTCGCCCCTGTGAGGAAGGCTTTGGGTTCTGTCCCCTGGCCGAGACAAACCAGAGTCTGTAAAAAAGGTCGTTTCTATCTTGCTTAACGCTCAGCAATTCAGGAGTGGGACGACTGGTTCGCCCGTTGTCAGTATAATGTGACCGGGTGGGGTGTCCTGCTGGGTGTCTTCGGCAGTATGTTTCAGTGAGGTGGCACTATAAAGTCGGCATTAGTTACACACTATCACAAGGAGACAAACACGAACATATTGCAGCCTCCCAAAACACACACACATACACTAAACGCATGCATCTTGCACACAGAGGAGGCTGTCCTTAAATGACTATAGCTGTTGATAGGACGTTAAAGGGGCTGGTCGGGGAAAAAATGTCATATTTGCTTAAATGGCATACACATGTTTAAAATACCTTTTTATGAAATATACCGATACAAATTTTGCTGAAATTCACTCCCTTAGAGTGAAAATTATTATTATTTAAAGAAATCCTAAATCGTCACCTGACAGTCTAAAACTCTCAATTGACCCAGATCAGTGATGTAATTTTACCGCACGCATGTCATCAACAAGGCCAAATGTAAACATCGCGGCTAAAGAAAAAGATGCATGCAAAAGTCATGACAGGCACGAGGTATCAATACCGTTATATATAACCACAACATATAGGTAGGAATACTACACTTGTATCATACATGACCTTTGAAAACAATTATTTACGCATAGTATTGCTGTCTTGTCCGCCATGGCACATGACGGCGTGCTATTGTTGTTATCTTCACTGCCTCACTTTCGAACCAACCATGTGATATATATAAATAGATCTGCGCTAAATTTACGCGGGGCTTCCCCAAGATTTCAGTGGTCAAAACTGGACATTGCAAGCAGAACTCGACCATCATGTTGCCGTGGTATAACTTTTGGAAGGCCAGAGAACGCATTTGGACCCATTTATTTTGTAATTTTTTCCCCGACCAGCCCCTTTAAACAATACTAAAACAAACCAAACCTTAGTGCAGAATTTCATGCAATTTTAACTTGTAACTTGCATGAATGTATAACCTCTATATTTGGTTTCTGTAGAGTATAACATATAGATCTATAGATTATCGGGGGTGTTAACAATATGAAATTACAGAAAAGCACAACTGGATGTGATCAATAAAAATAAATAAAAAAATAGTAGGATTTCTGTCAACATTTGTTCTGTAAACACAGGGGTGAGCACCACTTTAAACAGTGTATACAAGAGATCGACTTACAGCAGCGATTAGCCGCTGTGGTTTCCGAATACTTCGCCTTTCAAAGGACAGTAAAGTAGGCGGCGACGTCCCGCTTGCCTCTGTACTATGACGCGTTTGCACCATTTTCCTTTCTATGTTGTAGACCGTCTACTCCGACCCCACCATTGTTGCCCAACAACACAGCGAGATCCGTGGGCGACATAGAAATAAGTCCCTTACGAACACTGATATATCTGCAAAAAGCGAAATGATTAAGGTATCTTATTATGACATATTAGGAAGTTTTAAATTTTGCAATATCACTAGGTAATCCAAAGTAAGCTTGAATGCGTAGCGACATCCACGTAAAGTTAATGCGGAAGTGCGTATGAATACCAGATAGTAATTTTGGAGCCACTCTGATGGCGGGAATGCCTTTCAAAATTCCGCCAAAGTCAAAAAAATCCTGAACTCTTCTTTTGAAACGCCAACTTGCAAAAAATATGACAGAGAATGGTTTCGATATTACTAATGTAATGTTTTATTCAACTATTTTGGTCAGGTTGTGTCCAAAACATGATAAATATTGCTTTCTCTTTGTCTGCTGCTCCTGGTGATTACGTCGGCATCAAGTTGCCGACAGCCGCCAAAATGGTGTATTATGATTGATCCCATGATCGAATATTAATACAGTTGTGAGAAAATGTAAAATGCCTCGTATTTGTACTTTCTCCACTAGCTATTTATACAAAAGTTTATTCGTTTAACTATCACATCACGGGTTCCCCAAAACGGTGTAAGCGGAAATGAAGAGTGCGCATGTTAAACCGAAAGTAGAATCGCTGTGCAGTTGGCGGCGAGGTTGTAAGATTTCTATGAGCTCATAATATTTCATAAAAATGGATGAAAGTACACATCAGTATTTATATATAACGTTTTGTAATATACTATCCTCGTGTTATCGGTTTCCGCGCACTTAAGAAGCAGCCGCGATTTCGTACTCATATCGGTAGAAAACTGTTGAAATTAAGGATGACTGTCATAGACATGTTCACAATCTACTAATAGAAACAAAAAACTAGCAACATAAAACTATTAAAAAAAGTCAGAACAAACATTTTTTAACATTTTTTTCCCGTCGGAAGAAGGCGTCATATGTTTTCGTATTGATTTAATGTTCAAAGAAAGATAACTCGAATACACTAATTCTCCACAATGGCCTTCACGGACAAAAGCCTCGTTAGGAATAAAAAAAAAAATCTTTCATCTCGTCAAATTAGTTTTCAAATTTCATATTTTTTTATTGATTTTTTTTATATGTCAACTTGAACGAATTCGTGTAACTTTATACATTTATTTATTTCATTTATTTAGTTATATATCTATATACCAAGATCTGGTATTATTTTTTGTGCAGTCTTATATAGGTTTTGGTTGATGGTAAATTATTTCTCATTTTATTTTGCTAAAGATTGGTTAAAAGTGTAAGTTCATTGCATTACAAGGTTTACGTTTCATTGCAAACAGTGTTTATCGATATAAGAATGTCTTCTTCGCTCTTCGGAAGTGGAAATTCAATGGCGAGGAGATGTGGCCTCATTTGCATACAACATTTTCGTACGTTTGTCAGACTACAAAAGAGACCATTTCATAAATGAAATATATCACTGTTATTTCAGGTATGGGTTCATTTTGAGCAAGATAAAAAGTGTTTTAAGCAAATTGCATAGTTATGCGAATTTTTAATCAGTGATTTTAATATTCTAATGTTTTCCGGACGAACTTCCGGTAATGTTTGTGTCAGTTTAGAGACGATGGCCAAACGTCTTAAATATCCTTGTGTAGTGTCCAGCAGGTCAAATATTAACGAGATGTAGCTTGATAAAATGTCTGCGCGGAAATATATAACGCACGGAAACATATGACTAGACGGGATTATATCTACGGTACAGTAGTTTGGTAACCATGATATATCAAGAATAATGTAAACTAGGCCTATGGCTGATATTTCTTGGGGATATGAATGTAAAAGTCAAAGGACCACGATGTGAATTTACTAAAAATGTTCGTTCTCGATGTTTTCAGGAGTTCTTAGGCAGGTCTAACTTAATGTCTGCAAATGTCCGAAACATATGCAGTGATCCCTCTTATACATTTTCTCCCCAAACCGGAAATTGTACACTCATCGACCATGTACTAACTCACCGAGCATGTTTGACCTGGTAAACGACATATGTATATTAGAGGACACGGAGTTAAACCTGTCGGAACACCTACCTGTACGTATCTACTCCAGTCTATAAAATCATGTAATGTCAGGTTAAATTGGAAGAAAGCTGTGTCAGAAGGAATGTTACAGAAGTATAAATTATCTAAAAAGAATCTAAATTAAGTTCGCAGTTGATATACTAAGAATACTGCAAAAGTATAAATTGTTTGAAGTGTTTAATGATTTTATTAGTAACTGTGCTTTTCCGTCTAAATGTATGTGGCGTGTTAAAGTAAAAAATGCCGTATACTCAGTAGAGGAATTAGCGTGTCGAGAAAGAATGGCCAATGATGGCGAGTACACTAGATTTTCTCTTATCCACGATCATTTAGTACCACATGTATTATGGAGACTGGCATTTAAATTCCCAGCCAAAAGAGAAGCTATACAATATGTCATGAAATTAATTGTAACTATCAGAGAGTGTGAGGGTGAAGAATCATGTCATAAATGTGGCTTTATGTACAGTGATATAGCCACCCATATAGTTCTACAATGTGATTATACAGGAGAGATAAGAGATAATTTATGGTGTGATATTATAAATATTAAAGACATAATGTTTAGTGTGTACTTACATTCCATGTCTGATTATGATATGTTTCATATCCTCATTGGAGGAAATGTAGAGCATGAGTTGAATTCAATGGAGTTAGATGACTTTCGCATAAACTCTGTTACTTGTACAAATGATGTCTTAACCTAAACTTTACAATATGTCAATTGTTACATTTTTCCTTTTTCTGTATTTCGTATGATGGTCATCTCTCTTAAGTAACTTAATTAAGTTAAAGAGCGTAGTGACGCAAAGGTGAGTTAGCTCCAGTGTAACCCTTACTTTACAATACAATTTAGCTTTTGAATTTCTGTTTGTATATTGTCATATAACATGTACGTTACTTTGTCAATTTTCAATGAATGCATATATGTATTGTTCTGTTTGTGAATCTTCGATTCGGAGGAAATAAAGAGAATAATAATAATAAAGATCATGACAACACGAGTAGTACTAGTCCGAATTATTCTGACGTTTTATCGACTTTTTTTATATCGGTCTGGCGTCGATTAACCGACGCCAGACCGATATGAAAAAAAGTCGATAAAACGTTAGAATAATTCGGACTAGAGAAGTACCTGCCGACAAGCAGTGATTTTGTTAATCGAGATTTTAATTATCATATCCGTCAATTTAACTATTAGATTGTTCAACACACAATGATATGTTGGCATTCGACAGCTAAGCACATGCCATCCAGGTTTCAGGACGGTGTTTTATTGTGAAAATCACGCAAACGCCTTTAACCTTATATCTACGACATGCAGGTTTCACTATGGTATGTCTTTTCCCTAGTTCTCTGTCATCAAAGTCCACAAATCTTCGCCAAAGCGAGATCTATATATATATATAAAGAAAATACCAACAACACTGCCCTAACTAGAGTTACAAATGTGTGTTATATATATTACTGTGTGGTGTTCTGTGGAAGGAGCTTGTAAATAACAATGTTCAATAATAATTAGATCTTTATTCCTTTGAATGTCTTGATTTTGAATTAGTGATAACTAACATTCATAATAAACTCCATGTAGAGGATAAATACAGGCTTATTTAGCCATGGGCTGATCTTCCACATGGTCCATACGACGGCCTATGTCATATTTAATTCTACTTGCCTTCTAAAGAGATGCTATGTCTCCACCCGATCGTTGTGATAATACAAATGGGTAGCTTTTGTAAAATCCGATACTAACTATATGTTTCATGCACCATTTTCTACGTCAATGGTTTCGTACCAACCACCAGAAATGTAGTCAGATAGAAATACTGTCGAACGAAATATACAAGCCTTGAATTTCTATGGAACGGCAATAAATGAATCGCCCTAATTCGTTATCATTTGAATATGCAAATATAGGGAAATATAAGCCATATTGGGAGTGAAAAGACTACCTAAAAACATTTAATGGATGGTCGGGTGGCGCAGTGGATAGCGCATTTGCCTTTCACCAAGGGGGCCGGCCGGGGTTCGATTCCCTGATCGGACGTGAAAAGGTATGGAGTCACCTGCCTGACCACGTGGGTTTTGTCCGGTTGCTCCGGTTTCCTCCCACATTAAGACTCACTGCGTGCTCACATCCGGGCCAACAAGAATGATTAATATGAGTTGTAGAAACTTGTTTCAAAAAGAATAAAGTTCATATTTTAATTTTCAATACAGCCGAGTGGTATCTATTTAAACTCAAAATTAATATAGTACAAAAGATAAAGATAGTTCCAGTGAAATGGTACGGTGTGATATAATACATATCATTCAAGTAATGTCAAGTACTTGCAACGAGAACTCAAGTAGTGACAGCATTACCAAAGCGTTGGCCTTCATTTCACACAAAGAAATAGCATTTCCCTCAGAGATAGTCCATATTCTTCATCAACCTGCTTTTTGGCAACCCTGTTTTGTAAATTTGTCCGTCAGAAGTCGACATCTAAAACGGAAATCATTTTCTCTCATTTTCCTGTGTGTAAGATTTCTTGCATACAAGACCGAAATATCCGCATTTCCGGTGGTGCTGGAAAACTCTATCCGACCCACGGGTCTAGATCGCTTACACGCGCAGACTGGCGAGGGAATTATAGTGACCTTTCGGGGTCAAGCTATTGTTCGTGACGTCATTTTATGACGTTTTAGGCTCAGTCAGGGTCATTGACCATTCGGAACACCTCGCCCCGATTCCAGTTCCTTCCAACGTAGATGACCGTATCGACCGAGAAGTTCCGAGTGGGTCATTGACGTCACTAACAATTGCCATCCGGGCTGTATTTACGTATAATGTGCTTTATATAAAATATTATTTCTTATAATACCTATAAATGCTTAGCTTGCTTTGACCAGGATATTTCAAAACGGAATAACTGCTAAAACGTATTCGAGTCATATGGCCTAGTTAAATGTCACATGTCAAAAAACAAAACAGAAACGATATAAAACATCGTAATCGGGGCGAGGTGTTCCGAATGATAGTGTTTATAAAAAAAAAAAGTCTCTGTAGATTCCTACATCTTTACTTCTTAGAGCCAAAGTTCAATTGCTCGAAGAAGGTATATTTTCATATTTAGTTGTGAGCAAAATGCTAGACGAAAGGGTAAAAGTAACGGCCTGGTCTGGGTTCAAACTAGAAACAGCTGTTCAGTCGTCGCCCGCTCTGACCGGCGCATGGACTCAAACCAGTTCCGTTACATGATGTAGGACCTAATGTTGCTAAGGAATAGACACTGTGGCAACCCATTCATTAAGGTAACGCTGTTTCGACGTACTAGTTGACAACGAGATCATAATCAACTGCCATCTTCGAAAATAAGACGAAAACATACTAATTATAAAGTACTTTATTTATTATATGCTTTCATACACAAAACCAAATACAGAGTGTGACGTGATGATCTGGTATACCGATTATATATTGAGATGACAGTTTATCAAGATACATCTACACCGTTGTCTTATTTTTACATATATATAACACGAAAACACACTCCATTTATTCCGATTGGCGATATTCTTGGAATACTCTACTAAAATTTAAACACTATCAAAAGATTTAATGAATTCACAATGTGTATAGACTCCTTCTGAAGCATATACCCTTATACAGCTTCACTGTGTCACACTTACAGTGCTAAGCAGATAACCAACCTTATCTTCGCTAGCCAAGTGTTCACTTCGTATACACTCCACTTACCCTCTTTGGTAATTGGAGTGTTTACGAAGCGAACACTTGGCCAGCGAAGATGAACCAACCTCAGAAATTTATGAAGGCCCGTAAACCCACGAATGTCTGTGTATGCACCTTAAACTATTTTTTTATTTATAAAATTGGGTTGCTTTAGTTGAGAGGTAGCGGCAATCGCACATCTTTCATAAACTAGCAACTTTTCACTAATTACAAGAGGTGTTTATTAAATCACACCATCTAGCGTGCGTATGAAGTAAAGGCTACGGTTATCTTCCCTTAACTTCAACTCTCGCTGTAGTTCGGGAACCATCCCTCGCAAAATAAAAATAAAACATTGTACAGCAGCGCCATTAATGCTATACACCCAATGGGAACTGTTTGATCCAAACAAATTGTATTCCAAAATAATGTTTAGAATACTGAAGCTGAGGAGTTAACGAAGTATAGTGAGGTAAAACAATAGTCCGGAAAGAAGGTTTTTCCGTATTATCAAGATCCGGAATAACAAGGTTGTCCGGATTATCGTGATTGGGTTTAACAAAGTGACACTGTATTTTCAAAGCAAAACATAAGACGAACATTTAGAAATATGGATCTAGTGAGTAGACTATTATTTACATGCACCAATGAACGGCACGGTACTATGACTCATTCTCATCCATGCGCTTAAAGGAGATCTTCATATCGTCCATTGTTTTGTTGTTAGATTTGAGGTATATCACGACAGCTACAACTGCCAGTATGAGTCCTAGTGCGATCATGCCTACTGCAAGTCCAGCCATCGCGCCTTTGTAAGTAGAAAAATGGACGGTTTAGATAAAAAAGCAAATAATGTCAAATAGATTCTGGATTAAATGATAATTAAATGTTTATTAAATCTGGAAGGAGTAAAGCTAGAGGAATTAGGAACTGGGAGAGGAATTAGTTTGGAGCTTGTTTTCAATTATTCTTTATAGTTTGTTTTGTATTATGTTTAATGTGCAAACATTGGAAATAAAATGATGTTTAAATTAAAGCTATATAATATACCATGTACAAAGCAGACCGAAAATGTCTCTTTCTGAAAGATATCTATCGTTTTTATTATTTTCCCCTCATTAAAGAAATGTACTCTCTGTTTATTTATCAGCATAATTGTATTGAATTTGATATTTAGAGGGATTTGTGCGTTATGCAATACCTACCCCCACTGTATCCTGAAGCAGCAGGTGCGGTAACAGGGGCAGCGTAGACCTGGCCGTTCGGGTAGTACTTTCCTGTGTAAAGTATAACCATATTGATGTCAGACTAATAATATAAACTATTTATATGTTTAATTGCTTACCTTGTGAACTTCTTAGCGATCACATTTATGACTAAGTGAATGCTCAAGCTATGGTCAAGCCACACCCATTGTTCTAGATTAAATCAAAGTCAATAAGGGCGCCATTTGTGAATGTTATAGAGCACTAGAGATATAGTCTTTACACGCCGTCTGCTTGATACTTTTTCTATGCCTCGTGCGAAATAAACGTGTAATAAAGAGGACGTGACTTACTAGAGTAGATATCACAGTAAGCACTGGCCTGGACGGTTGACTGTCCAGCGGAACTTAGAGAAACTCCGCTAAGTCGACACTCTGTGTAGTTTCCACAGTAGGAGAATGTAGCGCAGCCTGCATTCTCTTCATCTACACACGCTTTGGCACACTCCAGCACAGAAATACCAGTGATGACTCTATCTTGTGTCATCTTCATTAGCTTCTTTTGATAATGCTGGAAATCGTCAATGTACTCTCCTACAACCATCAAGAAACAGGACTTAGACCAAAGTTAATTCAGGAAAGCGACGTGCAATATATGCATCATTTAGAAAAATATGAAATTAATCATTTTTAATGTTTAATATTTCTTGAAAACTGTTACCTTATTATGTGTATAAGTAAATAATGCATAATCCTAAATTTAGTTGAGGTTTTTCTTTTTTAAATGGGTATCGACCATAACTCCAAATCATTTTATGAAAACAATATACTTCAATCAACATTAATGCCACAACTTACTGGAATAATGATCACATTGTGGAGATGCTTTTATTGAAGATTTGGGCACATCGAGGACGTGGATCTTTCCAATGAAGCATGTTCCGATTTGATCACAATAATCAAAGGACTTGCATGGGAACTCGTGGTAGTCGACGCACAGCTTGGCGCACTCATTCACGTCGTAGATGCCCTGGTAGATTACAGGTGAGGAGGACAGAACAGTGGTGCCTTTCTGCAGGTTAAACTTGGAGGTGTAATCACCTGGAATCAAGATGGTCATGTCAGGTAAGTCAGGTGTATCCGACAACTTCAATGATGAATTAAATAAACCATGCGACAGATTTTCAATGCAACACCTCCATTTTGGAAAATATTTATCAGAATTGAGTAACTATTTTTAGTTTGAAGTACTTTTCTAAAAACAATCCCAGATGTCATTTTTTATCTCTTCATCAAATGTTATTGTCTATAACGAATGGATTGGACAACAGACAACGACTATATACATCCATTCTGGAATGGCATTTGATCAACAGCCAAACAGGAGAATGGATGTCCATTTGTAAAAAGTGAACCTTGTGTCTTGAAGTTATTTATGATGTTATTAGATATGTTATCACAGAGACACAGCAAACACCCCCACTTACGAATGTACAGGTCGATGCCGTTGATATTCTGAATCTTTTTTGGGTCGTCATCTGGGTGGAAGTGTGAAAGAGTGCACCGTCCGGTTTGCCATTCGTACTCAAACGAATTGCAGATAAACACTTCCGTAGCGACGCAGGCAGCAGCACAGTCGTCGACAGAGATCCCGTCCTCTATGTCGTCGTCGTAGTTGGGTACGTTCTTGTTGTGCATCGCCCTAAAATGCTTCAACGTTGCAGCTGTACGTAACATACAAAGTGACAGAAAAAAGAACGTCAATAGGATTTTTGTAGCAAGGCAGTATTTTGATATCATTGAAACATAGCTGCGATAACGTAGCTTTCTGACGACGAGAGATTTTTTTATATATCGCGGCCGGGGCAGAGGAGGCCGGGTATGAATATGAGTACTAATCGAAACAACGCTGGCATCTATTCATTCTGTTAAGTTTTAAAGGCGTAGTGAAATATTTACATGGATTTTCTTTTTGTTTCTTCCTTTTTGTTAATTAGGATATTGTTTGAGTGGAAAGTTTGTATATATTAACAGGATATCTTTGCAAAATTACCTAAGCACGGTTTTTTAAAGTCTTAATACATAACGATACGTTAATAAACAATATCAAAATCCCATTTTTGAGAAATAAATATTTTAAAGATTATTTTCTGTCAGTAATTGTTAATTTTGAATATTGGTAGATACCGTTGAGTTTTCAGTTAAATATATCAGATGTAAGTTTGCGTTAAGTTTTAATCAGATATTGAACAACTTGGTCTTGGAGTAATTTGTAAGGTAGCGTGCATCGTGGATTAAAATATTAGAAAATGGGATTACATTATGTACCAGTTACTTCTGTTTCTTATCTGTTGTAGTTGCAAACGAAATATCAAACCAAATTTTGAATTTCATCATTCTTTATCTATTTCATTACTCGTCAATTGCCTTAAAAGGTCACGTAAATGATAATTAAAAAATCTTAGCTGAAATCCGCTTTTTGAGATAAGTCATAATATGTGCTTGGTATTTCGAAAATGTTTTCTAGTTATTTAAAATAGAGGCATCATAAAGCGGTTGAAGGTCTGAATATTATCAAGCAAGACTGTAACAATCAACAATTCTATAAAATGAAAAGGGAGCATTTAGTCTATTGACCTACTTGATGATGGGTCCCTCACACCTCCCAGAGACACACTCGAGGATATGTCTGATGCCTTGTAGGATACCTGCAAACAAAAACAAAAACAAATATTGCATTGAGTGGTATCACAGTGTGAATTGGCCAGAGACACTAAATACAATGTATTTATGATTATGGAATTGTCACTACACATCGCTTTTGCACCCTTTCACACCTAAAATACCCTACATATTGTTATTATCGTTATGGCTAAATTAAGACACATGTTCAAGAACGAATCATCCAGGGACATTATGTCACATTATGTCACTAACAGGTACTTGTGATGATAACAAGAAACAAATTTGAAGTGATTCTGCTATTAGGGCGTTGATTGCATTATACCACGTGATATATTCAACAGGCATCGTCACAGCGCACACTGACTGGACAGAAAGGGCTACGGGGCAGTTTATACCGTATTTATTTCTGATAATAAACATGTTATTTACAATACAGAACCAGCAACGATTCGGAAACAAGTATTAAGTACTTAAACAATGTCCGTTTGGTTTGGTTAGATACACAATACTAACAGCAGATAAAGTAATCATTTAATCATATTGAAGTAAGTTCTAATGCATATCTTAACTGTAATTCGTGAAATTGCAGAAATATTTAGGGGACATGTAGACAAAGAAACAATTATCGATGAAAATGAATAGCAGTGATTCTCAAGTAAGACACCTCGGAGTGATGTATATCTATATATTTACAAAATTATATAGTGTATGATTTGATGCATGCATATCCAGACTTATTGCGCTCATACACACAATATCTGTGATACACACAACACAATCATGTACGTATATAGAAAATACATTCACATAAATACAGATTCGTTGGTTATCATTATATTGTAAGTTAAAACGCTTGCTATGCATAATATAATATAATTCTGCGCAAGTCAGGTGTAAAGATATTGATATAATCTGCTCCTGGTAAATGTATATCAGTATTTAATTACAAATTAGTTGTGGCGTTGAAAGAGGACACATTAAAATAGACGGACAGACACCATAATTACCGTCTCTGATGCGTAGCCCTCATTAGTCAATCAAGTACAACGTGGTGTTATAGGCCACATAAATGAATAAACCAACTCACCGTTGACGTGTCAAACTTTATGTTGAGTACAAACACTCCCCGGACAACGGCGTTCCTGAGCTTCTCCCATGCAGTTTGCATGTCTACCTCGGGGCGGAACGCAGATCCGAGCGTTCCTGTGGTAAATTGAGTTATAAACATTCATGCAAACATAAAAATATCCATCTCCGTATAAACCGCAACTATTGGCTCAATACTTGAACACTCTCACTCTTTTGAACACATATATTTTTTATCTTCACAATGACAATATTGGACTTTAGCACGGCTACTATTGGTATTGTGACACACAATGACAATATTGGACTTTAGCACGGCTACTATTGGTGTTGTGACACACAATGACAATATTGGACTTTAGCATGGATACTTTTGGTGTTGTGACACACAATGACAATATTGGACTTTAGCACGGCTACTATTGGTATTGAGACACACAATGACAATATTGGACTTTAGCATGGCTACAATTGGTGTTGTGACACACAATGACAATATTGGATTTTAGCATGGATACTATTGGTGTTGTGACACACAATGACAATATTGGATTTTAGCATGGATACTATTGGTGTTGTGACACACAATGACAACATTGGACTTTAGCACGGCTACTATTGGTATTGTGACCCACAATGACAACATTGGACTTTAGCACGGCTACTATTGGTATTGTGACACACAATGACAACATTGGACTTTAGCACGGCTACTATTGGTATTGTGACACACAATGACAACATTGGACTTTAGCACGGCTGCTATTGGTATTGTGACACACAATGACAATATTGGACTTTAGCATGGCTACAATTGGTGTTGTGACACACAATGACAATATTGGTCTTTAGCATGGCTACAATTGGTGTTGTGACACACAATGACAATATTGGTCTTTAGCATGGCTACAATTGGTGTTGTGACACACAATGACAATATTGGATTTTAGCATGGATACTATTGGTGTTGTGACACACAATGACAATATTGGTCTTTAGCATGGCTACAATTGGTGTTGTGACACACAATGACAATATTGGTCTTTAGCATGGCTACAATTGGTGTTGTGACACACAATGACAATATTGGTCTTTAGCATGGCTACAATTGGTGTTGTGACACACAATGACAATATTGGATTTTAGCATGGATACTATTGGTGTTGTGACACACAATGACAACATGAGACTTTACCACGGCTACTAATGGTGTCGGACACACAATGACAAATTGGACTTTAGCACGACTACTATTGGTGTTGTGACACACAATGACAATATTGGACTTTAGCATGGCTACTATTGGTGTTGTGACACACAATGACAATATTGGACTTTAGCATGGATACTATTGGTGTTGTGACACACAATGACAACATTAGACTTTAGCACGGCTACTAATGGTGTCGGACACACAATGATTATATTGGACTTTAGCATGGCTACTATTGGTGTTGTGACACACAATGACAATATTGGACTTTAGCATGGATACTATTGGTGTTGTGACACACAATGACAAAGTATTCGTCCATTTTAGATGTTTTGTTTGTAATTATTTTTCAACCAAGTGAAAAATTACGAGTAACAGTCAATATAAATATAAGTTACAAAATGTTCTTTGCAGATATTATGATTGGCTCAGCTGCAGGTAATTGTTTGGGATGGGGGATCGACTGAAGTAGATAGGCGTCAGCAATGACGATTATTTATCATGAAACAAACAATCTTAAATTGATATAAAATTAAAAAATAACATTTCAAACATCTTTTCTTTCTATTGATATTTAGTTATTGGGTGCTTATGTTGTAAAATGATAAATTTTCGTAAAAATGAAATTCACAATTTATGCCAAGGTGTATTTTTACGGAACAAATGCTAAAATGTACAAATGAACAAAGTTTACTTGAGTAGTGATCACACGATCCTCCGCTTCCCACGAGAGTTCCATCTTCTGTATGACTTCTACTGAGAGTACAAGTCTGCGACTGCGCACAGTAGTCAAAGCTGTTGCACGTGAAGTTGTTCGTGACGCAGTAGTCGGCACAGTCACTGGCCTGTGACACGTACGTGATGGTCTTGTCGTTGTGGTACTGCAACACTTGGCCTTTGATTTGTCGGAATTTTGCTGTACAGTAAAATTGAAAACATATTTCCGTTATTGTTCTTCGATTTCGCGAATTAAATTCAAAAAGGAAACGTAGCAACATCATCTATATGTCTTGATATTATTTGAGTATGACGTAATATTCACGGGTATTTTTGATCGACGACCTTTTCGCTAATTGAAATGAAATACAAATTAATTATATTACAGTAACATACTCATTTTAGGAAGATGTTAACCTACCAATGGATGGCGCTTTTTCTAGCAATGTTCCAACAAAGAACGCTTGGTCGTATTCCATCTGAAAGTCGACGCCTTGGATCCTTAGCGGAGATACACCACTCGCTTCTGATACTACAGAGATCGACTGGAACAGGAATATCTCCCGAAAAGCTTGCACCTTAGCATCAAATGTTCCTGTAAGTAATATATATTGATAAATTCACTACATCAACAAGCCACGAGGACGATATCAGAACTAAAATGTCCAGTGGAATTGACAACAAAACGAACTTTGGACGAATCAAAATGAAGACAGAAATGATAGGATGATCCATCACAAATTCCTGAGGCAAACCCCTATTTTTCTGAGGGTAAGCTTTCATTAACCCATGAAAAGTTGTATAGTTCAATCTGAGTCTTGAAGCTTGGTATATGAGGAAAAAATCAAAATATCATTTTTTTGATTTATTGTTTTTTAAACACTGCGATTTCTCAGGGCTCCGAAGTGTGAATTTAAAGGATCGGGTAGGCATTTAAGCTCATTTCCTTGTTATTTCTTGTATAAATTACAATACATAAAAACGTTCTTCAAATCAAGTCCTCTTTTGTATTTTTAATTAAACTTCTTCTTCTTTTAATATTTGTTTTCCCATTTTTTTTTTTGAAGTTTTATTAGTATAAGTCACCATTACGCGTTAAAATGGCTTCGTAAAATAAGTACAGTACACTACATGGGTATTTCAATGCGACCATAGCGACGGATGTCACACTATTTCTATGCGTAGATATGGAGTGAATCAATATAAATCATATGTTTGCACTTTAGTTAATTAAAATACTGCATAGGTGAGAAATCTTCGGTTAAATACATTGGGAAACGTTTTGATACGATAGTTCTGTTTTGAATTTGATGTCACTGTTTTTTTTTTTATTTATGACAAAACAATTTCCTAATGTCTGGTTTCAATGCTTTAATTCTTTATTGACACTGGTTTGAATGAAAGACAACTAGGTTTATCAAGTCTTCTCAGTCAAGCCTTGCGAATCCAGCAACACTCTGCCCCATTACAATAATTATAATATAAGCTCAATATTTCAGTATGTATTCAATTTGATACACTTTACTTAGCCCATGTAGAATCTATGTATGTACGTGTACGTGGGTTGCAGAACAACTACTTTACCTCCGAACGTTATTTTGAAAGGTATTTTATCGTCAATGTCGAAGCAGGTGCGGATGTCAAATTTGGTGAGTTCCGGATGCTCTTGTGAAAAGTCGTATATGTTGTATCTAGCATTGTAAGGTATCTGGAAATGATACATTAAAAAATAATGTTAACAACATAAACGAAAATGTACCTTTAAAAAATGTACCACAACGTCAACATGCAAAGGGCAATATGGAAAGAGAAACTTAAGCCATAGTAACAAATGAAAAACAATCACAAACTTGTCTTTTCTTGAACCAAGTCAAGTCTACAATCAAAGACATGGGTCATTAGTCTTCAAGGGATGGGCAAGTGTATGCCGACTCACTAAATCCTTCTCGGCACATTTTTCTTTTACTAATTAAAGCTGTTTGCTGGTCATATTTGATGTTAATATGCAATACGACAAGCAATTATAAGAAATAATATTTTTTATTATTATATTATAATAATAATTATAGTACAGCTGTATTACAAATACAAAGTAAGGAGGCATATATTTAAATCGTGCTTTGTCGATGACGTGGAAAGCCAAACAAAGAAAACCTTAGTCTTGAGATCTTGTTATATATATATAAATCAACAAATGAAGCTAGCAATGCGGAGTAAATTTGATCAAGATTCAATCTTGAGGAGAAAGTCCTACATTCGCTTACCCCTGAGACGGATATGTCCAACCGCACTGGAATATCTGTCGCCGTCTGGTCAATGTTTCCTTCGTTGTTCTTTTCCGTGAAAGTTTTCTGTCAAATATGAATTTTAAAATATTCAAATTTATACTAAAGTAGATACAATTATATTTAAAATACAATAAAAAGAATAATACGACCATGTAAACAGATAAATGAGAAAGCCGATGTTAACTACAGGAACAACGAAGTCATCAATAATCGTTTTCTGGCATTAACAGTAAAGTTAGGTTATGATTGTGAAATTGAATTTCTTTCACAGTCTCGGTAAAGCATCATGTTAACTATGGTACATAGTAGAAACGTCCGTATAATAACACAGGAGAACTGTGAAGTGATTTTATATTGCGTCTTTGCGATTAATGGTTAGAAATACTTACTGCCAAGAAGTAAAATTGGAACGTAGCATTCAATGTCAGTCCTCCTAACTTAAAGTCGCTCCGTTTAGAAATGAAGACGTCACAGACCATATCTCTTGCAAATCTCTGCAAAACAATCACCTCGTTAAATATATGTATTCATGATTACTATATCCAGCTTTCCAATATATATGATAATACTAATATACAACATTTAATATATCCTCCTATCTAGCTCGACTTAGCCACTCTAAAGCGCTTTACAGTACATAGATATACAATTTATACAATCAATACAATTAACACATACATTAATCGATACAATTATGAGGCATTCGCAGGAGCTGCCTTATCAGGCGCTTACTTATAGTCCTATGCCACCTGGCTAATATCTCCCTACGTGTGTATGCCAGCGTGTGTGCTGGAGATGTATTTACAATTGTCAAGGAATTACTTCATGATGCAAATTATCACCATTTAAACCAACAAACTCACGCTCGAATGTACGAGGGATTCCTGACGTATTATTTTGACGTCATGTGATTTTTCCAATCATATAAAAAATACATATATCTCAGTCTTATCTATTTATATTTGTTGGAAACGAATAACTTAGCACTTAACTAACGACAAGGATATAATAACAACAGTACCGAAACTAAGTAGTCATATTTTGGTATAGTCTGTTCATTTATAATTTAAACCTTACACTAGCCCTAACAGGAAAACACTTAACAGAAAAAAGAGTATTTGAATTAAATTGGAACGAAATTGGAATAAAAAAAGCTTACATTGATTTGATAACTTGTCCCATATGATAAATGTTGTACAGTGAAGCTATTGGATTGAGGGATATGGCAAGTTTCTTGTTCACCAACCCAAATTCCAGGTCTTGCTATATCCCGATGCCCAATATTTTAACTGTTTTTTTCATTAACGAGTCACACAAACCAATAACAAGAAGAGTTAATGTCAGTACAAGCACCGCCCACCTCTTACCTGATCAGTTAATGTCAGTACAAGCACCGCCCACCTCTTACCTGATCAGTTAATGTCAGTACAAGCACTGCCCACCTCTTACCTGATCAGTTAATGTCAGTACAAGCACCGCCCACCTCTTACCTGATCAGTTAATGTCAGTACAAGCACCGCCCACCTCTTACCTGATCAGTTAATGTCAGAACAAGCACCGCCCACCTCTTACCTGATCAGTTAATTCATTTAGAAAGTTACGGAAATGGTTGAGGGCGTTAGCCCACAGTGGTGATTTTGTTTTTGAACACGTGGCGGAAAGCTCCCTCAATTAAAGACAACATTCAGGATATAGTTAATTTAACCTTAACGATTTTTTATGATAAAGAGTAAATAAGATATGTATATAAATAGATATACAGGTACCTGGCCTTCAAATGTATAAGAGTTGTCTAGGTAGAATAGTTGGCCTGGTGACTTCATTTGCAAGACGAAGGAGGGCTTTCCACTAAGAGATGTCGTCACGTTGATGCTGGCGTCGAAAGATGAGTTTTTGATGGGAGTAATCGTACAGTTCCCCATCGTCTTGTCAATATTATAGGCGATACCTCAAAGGAGAATAAACATAGAAGTGAACCTACAGTATCTCCCTCTTAGGAATAAGGTTGTGAACTAACCGTTCAACATTTTTTCCACAATTCTTACTTCATTTAATCAAATTGACGATTATATCCGTCAAAGAAAAGTTCAGAAATTCTTGCAGTTAATTTTCATTCACAAGATCTCGTTCAAGCCTATCATTCGTTCATTGTAGTTGACGTCACCTTTATGTTTATACAGGTAGCAGATTTGTTTCCAGTTGCTTTGGGAGAAAGACCAAAATACCTATTGCACCATTGCATAACTGGGGTTCTTTATCTCATTCTTATTGTCAGTTTTCTTTTCGTTAGTACCGTGCTTTATAAGTGATGTAGACGTGTTGAAGGCTTCACATAGTAGACAAAGACTACTCACCATCACATAGTAGACAAAGACTACTCACCATCACATAGTAAACAAAGACTACTCACCATCACATAGTAGACTAAGACTTCTCACCATCACATAGTAGACTAAGACTACTCACCATCACATAGTAGACTAAGACTACCCACCATCACATAGTAGACAAAGACTACTCACCAACACATAGTAGACAGACTACTCACCATCACATAGTAGACAGACTTCTCACCATCACATAGCAGACAAAGACTACTCACCATCACATAGTAGACAAGGACTACTCACCATCACATAGTAGGCAAAGACTACTCACCATCACATAGTAGACAAAGACTACTCCCCATCAGATAGTAGACAGACTTCTCACCATCACATAGTAGACCAAGACTACTCGCCATCACATAGTAGACAAAGACTACTCACCATCTCATAGTAGACAAAGACTACTCACCATCACATAGCAGACAAAGACTACTCACCATCACATAGTAGACACAGACTACTCACCATCACATAGTAGACAAAGACTAATCACCATCACATAGTAAACAAAGACTTCTCACCATCACATAGTAAACAAAGACTTCTCGCCATCACATAGTAAACAAAGACTACTCACCATCACATAGTAAACAAAGACTACTCACCATCATATATTAGACAAAGACTACTCACCATCACAAAGACTACTCACCATCACATAGTAAAAAAAGACTACTCACCATCACATAGTAGACAGACTTCTCACCATCACATAGCAGACAAAGACTACTCACCATCACATAGTAGACAAAGACTTCTCACCATCACATAGTAAACAAAGACTTCTCGCCATCACATAGCAAACAAAGACTACTCACCATCATATAATAGACAAAGGCTACTCACCATCACAAAGACTACTCACCATCACATAGTAGACAAAGACTATTCACCATCACATACTAGACAAAGACTACTCACCATCACATAGTAAACGAAGACTACTCACCATCACATAGTAGACAGACTTCTCACCATCATATAGTAGACAAAGACTACTCACCATCACATAGAAGACAAAGACTACTCACCATCACATAGTAGACTAAGACTACCCACCATCACATAGTAGACAAAGACTACTAACCATAACATAGTAGACAAAGACTACTCACCATCACATAGACTAAGACTACTCACCATCACATAGTAGACTAAGACTTCTCACCATCACATAGTAGACAAAGACTACTCACTATCACATAGTAGACAAAGACTACTCACCATCACATAGACTAAGACTACTCACCATCACATAGTAGACACAGACTACTCACCATCACATAGTAGACAAAGACTTCTCACCATCACATAGTAAACAAAGACTTCTCGCCATCACATAGCAAACAAAGACTACTCACCATCATATAATAGACAAAGGCTACTCACCATCACAAAGACTACTCACCATCACATAGTAAAAAAAGACTACTCACCATCACATAGTAGACAGACTTCTTACCATCACATAGTAAACAAAGACTACTCACCATCATATAATAGACAAAGACTACTCACCATCACATAGTAAACAAAGACTTCTCACCATCACATAGTAAACAAAGACTTCTCGCCATCACATAGTAAACAAAGACTACTCACCATCATATAATAGACAAAGACTACTCACCATCACAAAGACTACTCACCATCACATAGTAAACAAAGACTACTCACCATCATATAATAGACAAAGACTACTCACCATCACATAGTAGACAAAGACTACTCACCATCACATAGTAGACAAAGACTAATCACCATCACATAGTAAACAAAGACTTCTCACCATCACATAGTAGATAAAGACTACTCACCATCACATAGTAGACAGAGACTACTCACCATCACGTAGTAGACAAAGACTACTCACCATCACATAGTAGACAAAGACTACTCACCTTCATATAGTAGACAGACTACTCACCATCACATAGTAGACTAAGACTACTCATCATCACATAGTAGACAAAGACTACTCACAATCACATAGTAGACTAAGACTACTCACCATCACATAGTTGACAAAGACTACTCACCTTCATATAGTAGACAGACTACTCACCATCACATAGTAGACTAGGACTACCCATCATCACATAGTAGACTAAGACTACTCACCATCACATAGTAAACAAAGACTTCTCGCCATCACATAGTAAACAAAGACTACTCACCATTAGACAAAGACTAATCACCATCACATAGTAGACAAAGACTACTCTAGACAAAGACTACTCACCTTCATATAGTAGACAGACTACTCACCATCACATAGTAGACAAAGACTACTCACCATCATATAGTAAACAAAGACTACTCACCATCACATAGTAGACTAAGACTTCTCACCATCACATAGTAGACTAAGACTACTCACCATCACATAGTTGACAAAGACTACTCACCATCACATAGTAGACAAAGGCTACTCACCATCATATCGTAAACAAAGACTACTGACCATCACAGAGTAGACAGAGACTACTCACCACCAAATAGTAAACAAAGACTACGCACCATCACATAGTAGCCTAAGACTTCTCACCATCACCTAGTAGACTAAGACTGCTCCCCATCACATAGTAAACAATGACGCCTCACCTTCCCATAGTAGACAGAGACTACTCACCCTCACATAGTAGACAAACTACTCACCATCACGTAGTAGACAAAGACTCCTCACCATCACATAGCAGACAGGGACTACTCACCATCACAAAGTAGACTAAGGCTACTCACCATCATATCGTAAACAAAGACTACGCACCATCACATAGTATACAAAGACTACTCACTATCACATAGTAGACTAGGACTACGCACCTGTGTTGAAGTCATGAATCTCGGTGTGATGGTGAGTAGGCTGTTTACTATGTGATTGTGAGTAGTCTTTGTCTAGTATATGATGGTGAGTAGCCTTTGTCTATTATATGATGGTGAGTAGTCCTAGTCTCCTATGTGATGGTGAGTGGTCTTAGTCTACTATGCGATGGTGAGTAGTCTTTCTACTATGTGATGGAGAGTAGTCTCTGTCTACTCTGTGATGGTCAGTAGTCTGTGTTTACTATATTATGGTGAGTACTCTTTGTCTACTATGCGATGGTGAGTAGTCTATGTCAACTATGTGATGGTGAGTAGGCTGTCTACTATATGATGGTGAGTAGTCTATGTCAACTATGTGATGGTGAGCAGTCTGTCTACTATGTGATGTGGAGTAGTCTTTGTCTGCTATGTGATTGTGAGGAGTCTGTCTACTATGTGATCGTGAGTAGTCTTTGTATACTATGTGATGGTGCGTAGTCTTTGTTTACGATATGATGGTGAGTAGTCTCTCTCTACTATGTTATGGTGAGTAGTCTTGTTTACTATGTGATGGGGAGCAGTCTTAGTCTACTAGGTGATGGTGAGAAGTCTTAGTCTTCTATGTGATGGTGAGAAGGTCTTAGTCTACTATGAGATGGTGAGTAGTCTATGTCAACTATGTGATGGTGACTAGTCTTTGTCTACTACGTGATGGTGAGTAGTATTAGTCTACTATGTGATAGTGAGTAGTCTTTGTATACTATGTGATGGTGAGGAGTCTTTGTCTACTATGTGACTACTATGTGATGGTAAGAAGTCTGTCTACTATGTGAAGTCTTTGTCTATTATGTGATGGTGAGTAGTTTGTCTACTATGTGTTGGTGAGTAGTCTTTCTACTATGTTATGGAGAGTAGCCTGTCTACTATGTGAAGTCTTTGTCTATTATATTATTGTTAGTAGTCTGTCTACTGTGTGATGGTGAGTAGACTAAGACTAATCACCATCACATAGTTGACTAAGACTACTCACAATCACATAGCAGACAAAGACAACTCACCTTCACATAGTAAACAAGACTACTCACCATAATATAGTAGACAGACTTCTTACCATCACATAGTAACCAAAGACTACTCACTATCTCATAGTAAACAGACTACTCACCATAATATAGTAGACAGACTACACACCATCACATAGTATACAAAGACTACTCACTATCTCATAGTAAACAGACTACTCACCAGCACATAGTAGACTAAGCCTACTCACCATCACAAAGTAGACTAAGGCTACTCACCATCATATAGTAGACAAAGACTACTCACCATCACATAGTAGACTAGGACTACTCACCTGTGTTGAAGTCATGAATCTCGGTAGCAGCGTCGGTGTTGTAGTAGGGAGGAGTATTAGGTTGTGGACGGAAGTCATAACGTACCAGTCCAAAGAGATCATCGTACCAAACCTAAACAAGTACATTATACTACACCCATCACGGAAATACCAATTGGATTTAAGGAACGATTGCATGACGATTGAATGAAAAATCACATGACCTCACTAAAATACAATATAAATTCATTTCGTTTCAATTGATTTGTTTTAAATACTGATTAACTCCTATACAACAATATAGCATTGATTTTATAAACATTTCTGAAAATCATTTTTCTTTATTTCTTTAAGGGTTTATTATGCAATCAATATAGTTTTCAATCGTTTAAGTGTCACAATTAAATAAAAAAAACAATATATTACAAAAAATGTTCCTTCTTTCTCAGCTAACGTTTTGTTTATGAGAAAACATTTATTGGCCTCTGACTTAATGCTCATTTACATATATGTACTTGTTGTAACATGTATGGCCTTCTGCTACGTCTTCATGCTTCATGTCGATAACGCCCAGAACTGCTTATAAAATGTTTTATAAATTGTTATAAATGTAAATAGGTACTTACGTCAGCCTCAGTTATGGCATTGTTTGTGGGGGCCACTATCTCCTCCCTGTAGATATAAGCACCTTGTAAAACAGGAACGGGTCGGGTCTGTTTCCTACCCGGACACACCACCCCAGGAGGCGTCTGTTGGCATTAATACCAAAAACAAGTTGATAATAATCTATAGTCTATATTTGTTTGATATTTTTCATCACTAAAGACAGAATTTGATGTCAAAGACAAATATTTTGTCAGTTAATCCAACTAAAAAAGAACTGGCAATAAATATTTTTCTTTGTTTGGTTGTCCTACTGTGAAATATGAAGAATAAATGTGAGGATGTAGTTATAAACATACAGGCAAACTATGTATCCGTTTGGACAACGGGACAAAAATTAAACTCAAACTCTTTAACAAAATAGTAAATAAATAAGTTCACGGGATTATATCGTACGAGATACTAGAATCACCGATCTATTTTTCAATCGGAAAGAAGTGAACACCATACGAAATTTCTCCACGTATAATTAAGATTAAAACAGCCGTCGAATTGTCTGACGGAGAAAATGATGCAAACTTGGATTTTTTTAGGGAACAGCCAGGGTAAAAATCAGAGTCTTCACAAGGTTGCTATTTCTTTGTCATACCCTTCGGGTAGGAAATATTGTTATCATCGCAATATAAACCCCCACAAAGTCTGTTTGTAAATAGTGGCACAAAAGTGGTGTAAGAATGTTGTCAGAGTTTCCGACTTTATATGTTTAAATACGTTTAAATGCAAAATTAACTTCTTTAAGAAAGAGTGTGGGATGTAAAATGTTAATTCTATGTACAATAATTTGTTCCTATCTGTGCCAGGTGTCACACGAAAAGGGATGACAGAGAAATTGTTCACCGCTCAAGCGGGGGACAAATCCGTGTAGGACAGGAGAAAAAGAAATGGGGGCATGCTTTACCATGATTAAGGTAAATAAATAGGACACCCTGTCTATGAGGATCTTACCAAGAATACATCACTAGTGACGTCAATTTCGATCCTGAAGTTTACATAATCGTAGAAGTGATGGAATGGTACGTAAGTGTTGTCGTTCATTTTCTGAGTTCCCGTCACCTCTGCTCGGACTGGTACCTGGGGCCATCCGGCCGGATTGACCCACTGCTGAGCTGGACACAAACAAACGTCAATATCATTATTACAGAAATTAACTAATATAATCTGGTCAATTGGTCAAAGATTTCTACATGAGATTTGATCATGAAACTCTTTATATTTTTACTGAGACAAAAGGCACCAAGACAGCAATCGTGACACAAACATCAAGCCTAAACGATGAACCTAAGACCATGGGACTGTGCCTTTAACATTCGGTAATAGATACAGCTGGTCAAAAATCAATGACACTGCACCATTAAAACAAAGTCTCCATGGGAAAACACAATAAAGTCAAAATAAATTAATTCCAAAACAATAAAAAATATAGAAAAAGGGGATAGTACTGGCGTTTAGAATATAGAATATGTTTGAACCCGAGATCGATAGGTCGAGAGTTCCAACCGAACTTTTGGAATAATATCACATTATGTGTATTATATGATACAGTGATTAAGTTTGGTAAGTGCAAAAATTTAATCAATGAAATAAACAAATTTCATTCGTAAATTCAATTTTGTCAAGAAACTACTTTGCCGATTCTGTTACACGTTGTAATATTTTGTTTTGTGGGGTTGCAAGATAGTCGTGTTAGATTACAAAACAGATAGGCATTTGGCAATACTAAAATAATAAATCACACGGCCTGTAATAAGAGGCAAGATTACCGACAAATAACATTAGGATGGATCGTATGTTCGCATTGAAACAAAAACCTGAAATATAGAAGTATGAATTTGTAACAGTTAAATGTACAGTGCGTTTAAGTGTACAAAATGTCATGATCTGTTTATTTACATAGGTTTTATTAGTAATTCTGTTAGATACATATTGCTTAAATTGATACGTAACCAAAGTTGTAAGTGGTACAATGCAGAAAACCAATTTGTACAATTTTCGCAAGCACATTAAAAATGTACATTTATTACAGAAATTAACAAGACACAGAGCAATTACCACATGTGACATTTGTTAATTAGTGTGCGATATTTCATACTTGTAAAGTAGTAATCTAGCTGGAAGGTGGCGTTAAGAGCAGGCCACGAGGTGCAGGTTCTCCAGTGATCACACTGCACGCCTCGGATCGTTTTCACTCCCATATAAATCTACAAAAACAAAACAACGTGGATCAATGGTGGTGGACATCTCTAAATAATACATGTACAAAGTGTATATATACTTTATTCACCATGGATAGAGTTTTCCAATACAAGACCTAAGGGTTCTCTTCATCAAACTCAAATACATAGGTCCAAATTCCTATGGAGCCTCAAAGCCTGGAAAGGACCTGTTGATTTTGTCAGTTACTGGTAGTATATATTGTCACAAGGGGGATTTAATTGAAATTAATCATAGTAATTACATAAAATCATACCAACGCCTTTACTATAATTCGATACGTATCACTGAATATGATAATCCCTTTTTATCATATATACCTGGTTATTCTGTAAGAAATGAAGAACTCCGGTTGTAGTAAAGACATGAATTTTACCACCCTGCTCGTTATTTCCAAATAAGATGTTATTGCTGTCGGCGGTCAGATTGTCAACTTTACACGAATTGTCCGCTGAAAAAGAGTTCAAAGCCAATAATTAACTGAACTTTACTGACTAACAAATATCAACGAATTATGAACGATTTTCAGTGGTTAAATAGAAACATGAAAAGCTTTATATATAATCAGTTGTTTGGTAATTTTCAAGTTAGATATAAAATAAGTGTGCATGATTTATTTCGGATAGAGTTTAATAGGCAAGGAGTTATGGGTAAATGATATGACAATACAATCCTACATGGATGCCTTTTTTGTTGACGTTCACAGTTGCGGTTTTATCATATGCTAGAATTCGATGTTGATGAATGTTCAAGGTTGGGTGAACGGATTACGATAAGTTCAATATTAGACGACACTCTTACTATAGATCGAGGATACGGCACAATGCTAAACGGATGCCCAGCGAACTCTCCAAAATGTTTATTGTATATATACCAAAGAAATATCGCATTTGTTTAACTCGAATCCGTACATCTACCCATTCTTTGGCTGTAGAAGTTGGAAGGTATAATAATATACCAAGAGAACGTAGATATTGTTCACAGTGTAACTCCCCCTCTGAAGTAGAGGACGAATTTCATTTTTTATTGGTCTAATCTAAATTCCAAAATCTCATATCTCGTTTTATCAAAAGCTATTATTGGAAAAAACTATTTGTGTTTAAAGTCTTTAAGTTATTGAGTGTCCATAATATTAAAGAATTGTGTCTACCAGGAAAATTCATCTATGAGGCAAACAAATGAAGGGTATTATAATGGAATATGATTGTTTTCATTCTCTGTACATTGTCCATGATTTGTGTATAATATGTATTGTATACTGATTGGCCAATGGCCTAAAGTTTGAATAAAACTTGAAAACTTGAACGATGTTCAATGGCAATTAAATGTCTAACGAAAGCGTTCAATGTCGGGCTAATGTACTAATCATTCAGTTCTATACTGGATGAAGGTTCAATGTCCATCACGATCAACGTTTAATGTTAGGTTAATAAAATGACTTCACGATTGAGTGAAGCTTTACTATATTTTTTCTATATATGTTTGCTGGTTGATAGATACTCCGTGATAGACGTAGACAGTGGAATGTCTTACAATAGACGTAAGAGGTGGAATGTCTTACAATAGACGTAGGAGGTGGAATGTCTTACAATAGACGTAGGAGGTGGAATGTCTTACAATAAACGTAGAAAGTGGAATGTCTTACAAAAGACGTAAGAGGTGGAATGTCTTACAATAGACGTGGAAGGTGGAATGTCTTACAATAGAAGTAGGAGGTGGAATGTCTTACAATAGACGTAAGAGGTGGAATGTCTTACAATAGACGTAGAAAGTGGAATGTCTTACAATAGACGTAGGAGGTGGAATGTCTTACAATAGACGTAGAAAGTGGAATGTCTTACAATAGATGTAGGAGGTGGAATATCTTACAATAGACGTAAGAGGTGGAACGTCTTACAATAGACGTAGGAGGTGGAACGTCTTACAATAGACGTAGCAGTTGGAACGTCTTACAATAAATAGACGTAGGAGGTGGAATGTCTTACAATAGACGTAAGAGGTGGAACGTCTTACCATAGACGTAGGAGGTGGAACGTCTTACAATAGACGTAGGAGGTGGAATGTCTTACAATAGACGTAGGAGGTGGAATGTCTAACAATAGACGTAGGAGGTGGAACGTCTCACAATAGACGTAGGAGGTGGAATGTCTTACAATAGACGTAGGAGGTGGAATGTCTTACAATAGACGTAGGAGGTGGAATGTCTTACAATAGACGTAGGAGGTGGAATGTCTTACAATAGACGTAGGAGGTGGAATGTCTTACAATAGACGTAGGAGGTGGAATGTCTTACAATAGACGTAGGAGGTGGAATGTCTTACAATAGACGTAGGAGGTGGAATGTCTTACAATAGACGTAGGAGGTGGAATGTCTTACAATAGACGTAGGAGGTGGAATGTCTTACAATAGACGTAGGAGGTGGAATGTCTTACAATAGACGTAGGAGGTGGAATGTCTTACAATAGACGTAGGAGGTGGAATGTCTTACAATAGACGTAGGAGGTGGAATGTCTTACAATAGACGTAGGAGGTGGAATGTCTTACAATAGACGTAGGAGGTGGAATGTCTTACAATAGACGTAGGAGGTGGAATGTCTTACAATAGACGTAGGAGGTGGAATGTCTTACAATAGACGTAGGAGGTGGAATGTCTTACAATAGACGTAGGAGGTGGAATGTCTTACAATAGACGTAGGAGGTGGAATGTCTTACAATAGACGTAGGAGGTGGAATGTCTTACAATAGACGTAGGAGGTGGAATGTCTTACAATAGACGTAGGAGGTGGAATGTCTTACAATAGACGTAGGAGGTGGAATGTCTTACAATAGACGTAGGAGGTGGAATGTCTTACAATAGACGTAGGAGGTGGAATGTCTTACAATAGACGTAGGAGGTGGAATGTCTTACAATAGACGTAGGAGGTGGAATGTCTTACAATAGACGTAGGAGGTGGAATGTCTTACAATAGACGTAGGAGGTGGAATGTCTTACAATAGACGTAGGAGGTGGAATGTCTTACAATAGACGTAGGAGGTGGAATGTCTTACAATAGACGTAGGAGGTGGAATGTCTTACAATAGACGTAGGAGGTGGAATGTCTTACAATAGACGTAGGAGGTGGAATGTCTTACAATAGACGTAGGAGGTGGAATGTCTTACAATAGACGTAGGAGGTGGAATGTCTTACAATAGACGTAGGAGGTGGAATGTCTTACAATAGACGTAGGAGGTGGAATGTCTTACAATAGACGTAGGAGGTGGAATGTCTTACAATAGACGTAGGAGGTGGAATGTCTTACAATAGACGTAGGAGGTGGAATGTCTTACAATAGACGTAGGAGGTGGAATGTCTTACAATAGACGTAGGAGGTGGAATGTCTTACAATAGACGTAGGAGGTGGAATGTCTTACAATAGACGTAGGAGGTGGAATGTCTTACAATAGACGTAGGAGGTGGAATGTCTTACAATAGACGTAGGAGGTGGAATGTCTTACAATAGACGTAGGAGGTGGAATGTCTTACAATAGACGTAGGAGGTGGAATGTCTTACAATAGACGTAGGAGGTGGAATGTCTTACAATAGACGTAGGAGGTGGAATGTCTTACAATAGACGTAGGAGGTGGAATGTCTTACAATAGACGTAGGAGGTGGAATGTCTTACAATAGACGTAGGAGGTGGAATGTCTTACAATAGACGTAGGAGGTGGAATGTCTTACAATAGACGTAGGAGGTGGAATGTCTTACAATAGACGTAGGAGGTGGAATGTCTTACAATAGACGTAGGAGGTGGAATGTCTTACAATAGACGTAGGAGGTGGAATGTCTTACAATAGACGTAGGAGGTGGAATGTCTTACAATAGACGTAGGAGGTGGAATGTCTTACAATAGACGTAGGAGGTGGAATGTCTTACAATAGACGTAGGAGGTGGAATGTCTTACAATAGACGTAGGAGGTGGAATGTCTTACAATAGACGTAGGAGGTGGAATGTCTTACAATAGACGTAGGAGGTGGAATGTCTTACAATAGACGTAGGAGGTGGAATGTCTTACAATAGACGTAGGAGGTGGAATGTCTTACAATAGACGTAGGAGGTGGAATGTCTTACAATAGACGTAGGAGGTGGAATGTCTTACAATAGACGTAGGAGGTGGAATGTCTTACAATAGACGTAGGAGGTGGAATGTCTTACAATAGACGTAGGAGGTGGAATGTCTTACAATAGACGTAGGAGGTGGAATGTCTTACAATAGACGTAGAGAGTGGAATGTCTTACAATAGACGTAGGAGGTGGAATGCCTTACAATAGACATAGGAGGTGGAATATCTTACAATAGACGTAGAAAGTGGAATGTCTTACAATAGACGTAGGAGTTGGAATGTCTTACAATAGACGTAGGAGGTGGAATGTCTTACAATAGACGTAGAAGAGCTGGTTGTTGACATAGTCGAAAATGAGTTTGAACTGCTCCCCATCCTTATACATGGTGAGAGTGGCCCTATTATTATTTCCATCAAAGTACTCCTCCGCGGACACAGTGTAGTTTTTGTCTGCAATCGTCGCCTCTATCCTCGTCTGGAACGTCTGCGGAAGTTGGGGAAATGGCGGATCTGTTGATGTTTAAATGCCATGAAAGATATATAGGTTACATTACATTACTTCTGCTAAATAGCTATCTCCCTTCCTTATACACATGTATTAATTAGCAAATTATTATGATACCAAGCAGTTTTAGCGCATCACACCATATTGTATTGAATTTTGAGATCAAAATAATTAATCTTTTTTAATGATAAATGTCTGCATAGTAATAACATAGTTATATTACTTCTTGCCAAGGTTGTAGTTTCCTGTAGATGGACAATAATTACCATTAGGTTGTGGCGAAGCACCTGTTGTTGGTACACAATAAGGTTGGGTTTGACTAGAAACGCATGCACTCAACCCAAGACACACCACGACCAAGACCCATGTCGGAATGGAGACCTACAAACACAACCATCTCCATACATACATATGTTAAATGTGAATGGCGTCCGCCATTGGTCACAATACATGAAAAAGGTAACCATACAGAAAATGACCATCACACTTGGAGCCAAAGAGAGCAATGAAACGAAACAGCTCACAGAAGGTCCTGTTAATGTTGCGGTCCTGTGAGAGTCGCTAATTCCTTTTTCCGTGTAAATTGCGACAATCACATTGGCATAAAAATTACATATTGTGTCGTATGTATGTGGAATAGATATATTCATATAAAACATAATTTACATAAGCACACCGGAAATCCGCCTATGTGAACAGTCTATCATTGCCAAGGTTTTTTTCCTGTTTGTGAGAATATGACAGAAATACACAACCAATCATCACGTATTTTGTCCTAGTGGGCATTGTGGCATTTTAACCTCATTTTTAACTGCATTTACAAACTCGCCATGACAACATGTCATCGACCATTATAACAGAAGTTATAATGTAAGTTTAGGACATGTATATCATTGTTTTCTTCGTGTGATGATACTTTGAGCTGACTGAAATAAGGAATTGATCGTGAAAATCTGTTAATTTCAGTTATATTAGTGATACCAGTATCTGATAATTACTACAAAATATGTGTTGAAAAAGCCTCAGTCGACTGTCATGTCTAGATAGTTATGTGCACTGTCTGGCGCAGGTTCGAATCCGGCGATTTGAGTCAATTTGTGTTGGGTCTCGAAATGTCTGTCCGCATCTTATAATAGTTACTACATGTATATGTACGTACAAATGTATGTGAATAAACATAGATAGAGGTAGAGGAGATACTCTCTGAGTGCCGTCTGCGTTTTAAAGAAATAGCCACGTGGAAACAACAACAGCTCATGTCAATGTTACAATGTCTTTTTATCATATCATACTTATATTGTGTTTTGGATCGCGCAGTTAGATTTTCGATCTGTATGACCTATATCAATGTGCATCAGTGTATATCTGGTTAACTAGTCAGTTAGTAATGATAGTACTGTGATAACGGTATCATCCAGATAGGGTGGAGTGTCGTCAATGTATCCCAGCACGTGATTAGGTCTGTTTGTATACCTGTGCTGGCCAGGTACAATAACGCCTACCTGGTACTACTGGTGTAAATTAATGTAACACGTATATTGACATGTTATGTAGTCAATAAAACAAATAAAGCATACATAATGATATGAATTTATGAAACTGTTTACAGCGAGCTGAAAATACAATTTGGAAAGGATTTGATATAAAATGCGCTCGAGCTGTAAATATGACAGAATGTGCTTTGGGTGCCTGGTTGTCGAGTGGCAACAACATTTAAGGCACTTTTCAGGATAAACTTTTAAACCCTTGGTTTGAAATCTTTTTTTTTGTGAACTCGCTATGCTTCGACATGTTTAGGTATCATGGACTTTTATAAGGGCTGTGTGCTACACAGATGGTCTTCAATGGGTCTCCATCACATTAATGGTTCTGTTTTCAATAAACACAGGTTCTTTACACCCTTGAATTATGTCATGACAATATCGAAGGCTTCTCACGTGACACCCACCCTTGAATATGCAATGGTTGTACTAACTTACGTTCTCTGCACCCCTCGAATATGCCATAACGAAATCGAAGGCTCTGTACGCACCATATTGTGAATGTTACAATAGTTTGGTCATTTGACGGACATAAAAAGAATCACACAAATGCGTAACGGTAAAGCACATGTTTTAAAGAAGGTCCTTCTTTGTAATCTTAAAAGGACATGTATCCAGCGATTCAGCTTACCGTCAGCTTTGATCTTGTCATGACATATCCCAGGGAGGCACAGAAGAGCTGTCTATCGAGAGCCCAAATAGTCCAAAGATACTAGCAAGTGAAATGAATATAATTTTGAAATGGAGCTTGTTTATCTTTTTCTTCAAACTAATGCTACTGAGTGATTACCTAGGGTAAAAGCACACATCGTGACGTTATCAATAACACATAGATGAGTAATAAATCGCAATGAAAGACAATAGTGCTAGCGATTTCTTTTCTCTCCAATTTTCTTCTTTGTTCTTGTTCTCATTGCATCTCACATTTTTTCAATTTATTTAATCTTTCTTCATCAAAATCACATGAAACAGGTCTCAGTTGATATCGTATTTAAATACTTACATGAATGGACAAGTTAAATAGAACAATTATACAACAACGTGACAAAGACTGACATCAAAGTCGATTGAGGCAAAGAGAATGTAACAGTCATTATCGTGACCTGCCAGTTTGACTATATACACTCTATCACTATCTACTGTGATAACATAATATGTTCACTACATGTCTGAGATAGTTCGTGACCTAAATAGTTCCTAGCTTTGACGAGGGACCTCATGACGGGTGCCTAGTGTGGTACAGGAAATGTATTTTCATTTATTTATTTTTGCCTTTTTTTATCAGCTTTGAATAACTTAGATAATGTTTACATGAATGTTTAAAAAGTTAGTTTTTTAAACTATACCAGTGCCAGCTCAAATGTATGAAATCTGTTGTATTAGGCTGATTAAGTAAATCTCCCCTGGTTTATTAATGATATCCACCTCTAAGTAAAATATAGTCTGTATTCTTTGTTCTTTTACTAGAATTTCCGCATTATATCTGGTCGTAATCTTAAAGTATATGACATGCATTTCAACACCTTGAATGTTTTTTTACAGCAAATAGCGGGGCTCGTTACACTACTGAAATGGTCATACTTGTATTGGTGATAATGATTTCATTATGATTTGTTCCAATATGATAAAACGAACATGAAATAAACTGAAAAGCGTGTAATTCAGGTAGCAGTCACTTCTTGCCAAATTCGCAAATTTTCAACAATGTGTGCAGATATTATATGGTAAGCATTTTTACTATCATAGCATGCAAGTTAAGTTTTCATTTTCATTAATGATTAGAATGCTGTCGATTCAAATTTAATATCCAAGTCATCAAAAGCTGACAGAGAATGTTAAGAAACATCAACAATAATGAGCCATTTAAACGGATACATTGTGTTAAGAAACATCAACAATAATGCGCCATCTAAACGGAGACATTGTGTTAAGAAACATCAACAATAATGCGCCATCTAAACGGATACAATGTGTTAAGAAACATCAAAAATAATGCGCCATCTAAATAGAGATATTGTGTTCAGAAGCATCAACAATAATGCGCCATCTAAACGGAAACATTGTGTTAAGAAGCATCAACAATAATTCGTCATCTAAACGGAGACATTGTGTTAAGAAGCTTCAACAATAATGCGCCATCTAAACGGAGACATTGTGTTAAGAAACATCAACAATAATGCGCCATCTAAACGGAAACATTGTGTTAAGAAACATCAACAATAATGCGCCATCTAAACGGAGACATAGTGTTAAGAAACATCAATTATAATGCGCCATCTAAACGGAAACATTGTGTTAAGAAACATCAGCAATAATGCGCCATCTAAACGGAGACATTGTGTTAAGAAACATCAACAATAATGCGCCATCTAAACAGACTGATGCAGACTGATACACGGTTACAGTGGTAATAAGAACAGTTTTGTTAGCGAAGATGAACCATCTTCTTCAGCTTCCTGGTTGAAACCAGTCTACACTTTATTGCCCTACATCAAAATAGTAGTAGGCTTACTCAAGTTTGAAATCTATTTTAAGTCTGAGAGCCACTCGACTTAAAATTAGAAAGGTTATTTTTGTATGAGTTGATCCTGGTGTATCAATAAAATCGTTATTATATAGCTCCCCATCCCTTCTAAGGTTTATGACGACCCAAGTCTGGAACATACTCATAGTTATGTAATCTTTACTTTTATTGATCCTGGTGAACTACTGGGACATTGAAATAAATCTGTGACACACTGATTAGTATACCTTTACTCGGAGCAGTCACGCTGAACTCATTTAGTACGGCGAAGTAAGTGTGGGACACACTGATTAGTATACCTTTACTCGGAGTAGTCACGCTGAACTCCTTTAGTACGGCGAACCAAGTGTGGGACACACTGATTAGTATACCTTTACTCGGAGCAGTCACGCTGAACTCATTTAGTACGACGAAGTTAGTGTTGGACCCACTGATTAGTATACCTTTACTCGGAGTAGTCACGCTGAACACATTTAGTACGGCGAACTAAATCTGTGACACACTGATTAGTATACCTTTACTCGGAGTAGTCACGCTGAACACATTAAGTACGGCGAACTAAGTGTGTGACACACTGATTAGTATACCTTTACTCCGAGTAGTCACGCTGAACTCATTTAGTACCGTACGGCAAACTAAGTGTGGGACACACTGATTAGTGTACCTTTACTCGGAGTAGTCACGCTGAACACATTTAGTACGGCAAACTAAGTGTGGGACACACTGATTAGTATACCTTTACTCCGAGTAGTCACGCTGAACTCATTTAGTACGGCGAAGTTAGTGTGGGACACTCTGATTAGTATACCTTTACTCGGAGTAGTCCCGCTGAACACATTAAGTACGGCGAACTAAGTGTGTGACACACTGAGTAGTATACCTTTACTCCGAGTAGTCACGCTGAACTCATTTAGTACCGTACGGCAAACTAAGTGTGGGACACACTGATTAGTATACCTTTCCTCGGAGTAGTCACGCTGAACTCATTTAGTACCGTACGGCAAACTAAGTGTGGGATACACTGATTAGTGTACCTTTACTCGGAGTAGTCACGCTGAACACCTTAAGTACGGCGAACTAAGTGTGTGACACACTGATTAGTATACCTTTACTCGGAGTAATCACGCTGAACTCATTTAGTACGGCGAAGTTAGTGTGGGACACACTGATTAGTATACCTTTACTCGGAGTAATCACGCTGAACTCATTTAGTACGGCGAACTAAATCTGTGACACACTGATTAGTATCCCTTTACTCGGAGTTGTCACGCTGAACTCATTAGGTACGGCGAACTAAGTGTGGGACACACTGATTAGTATACCTTTACTCGGAGTAGTCACGCTGAACTCATTTACTACGGCGAACTAAGTGTGGAACACATGGATTAGTATACCTTTACTCGGAGTAGTCACACTGAACTCATTTAGTACGGCGAACTTAATATGTGACACACTGATTAGTATACCTTTACTCGGAGTAGTCACGCTGAACTCATTTAGTACGGCGAACTAAGTGTGGGACACACTGATTAGTATACCTTTACTCGGAGTAGTCACGCTGAACTCATTTAGTACGGCGAACTAAGTGTGGGACACACTGATTAGTATACCTTTACTCGGAGTAGTCACGCTGAACTCATTTAGTACGGCGAACTAAGTGTGGGACACACTGATTAGTATACCTTTACTCGGAGTAGTCACGCTGAACTCATTTAGTACGGCGAACTAAGTGTGGGACACACTGATTAGTATACCTTTACTCGGAGTAGTCACGCTGAACTCATTTAGTACGGCGAACTAAGTGTGGGACACACTGATTAGTATACCTTTACTCGGAGTAGTCACGCTGAACTCATTTAGTACGGCGAACTAAGTGTGGGACACACTGATTAGTATACCTTTACTCGGAGTAGTCACGCTGAACTCATTTAGTACGGCGAACTAAGTGTGGGACACACTGATTAGTATACCTTTACTCGGAGTAGTCACGCTGAACTCATTTAGTACGGCGAACTAAGTGTGGGACACACTGATTAGTATACCTTTACTCGGAGTAGTCACGCTGAACTCATTTAGTACGGCGAACTAAGTGTGGGACACACTGATTAGTATACCTTTACTCGGAGTAGTCACGCTGAACTCATTTAGTACGGCGAACTAAGTGTGGGACACACTGATTAGTATACCTTTACTCGGAGTAGTCACGCTGAACTCATTTAGTACGGCGAACTAAGTGTGGGACACACTGATTAGTATACCTTTACTCGGAGTAGTCACGCTGAACTCATTTAGTACGGCGAACTAAGTGTGGGACACACTGATTAGTATACCTTTACTCGGAGTAGTCACGCTGAACTCATTTAGTACGGCGAACTAAGTGTGGGACACACTGATTAGTATACCTTTACTCGGAGTAGTCACGCTGAACTCATTTAGTACGGCGAACTAAGTGTGGGACACACTGATTAGTATACCTTTACTCGGAGTAGTCACGCTGAACTCATTTAGTACGGCGAACTAAGTGTGGGACACACTGATTAGTATACCTTTACTCGGAGTAGTCACGCTGAACTCATTTAGTACGGCGAACTAAGTGTGGGACACACTGATTAGTATACCTTTACTCGGAGTAGTCACGCTGAACTCATTTAGTACGGCGAACTAAGTGTGGGACACACTGATTAGTATACCTTTACTCGGAGTAGTCACGCTGAACTCATTTAGTACGGCGAACTAAGTGTGGGACACACTGATTAGTATACCTTTACTCGGAGTAGTCACGCTGAACTCATTTAGTACGGCGAACTAAGTGTGGGACACACTGATTAGTATACCTTTACTCGGAGTAGTCACGCTGAACTCATTTAGTACGGCGAACTAAGTGTGGGACACACTGATTAGTATACCTTTACTCGGAGTAGTCACGCTGAACTCATTTAGTACGGCGAACTAAGTGTGGGACACACTGATTAGTATACCTTTACTCGGAGTAGTCACGCTGAACTCATTTAGTACGGCGAACTAAGTGTGGGACACACTGATTAGTATACCTTTACTCGGAGTAGTCACGCTGAACTCATTTAGTACGGCGAACTAAGTGTGGGACACACTGATTAGTATACCTTTACTCGGAGTAGTCACGCTGAACTCATTTAGTACGGCGAACTAAGTGTGGGACACACTGATTAGTATACCTTTACTCGGAGTAGTCACGCTGAACTCATTTAGTACGGCGAACTAAGTGTGGGACACACTGATTAGTATACCTTTACTCGGAGTAGTCACGCTGAACTCATTTAGTACGGCGAACTAAGTGTGGGACACACTGATTAGTATACCTTTACTCGGAGTAGTCACGCTGAACTCATTTAGTACGGCGAACTAAGTGTGGGACACACTGATTAGTATACCTTTACTCGGAGTAGTCACGCTGAACTCATTTAGTACGGCGAACTAAGTGTGGGACACACTGATTAGTATACCTTTACTCGGAGTAGTCACGCTGAACTCATTTAGTACGGCGAACTAAGTGTGGGACACACTGATTAGTATACCTTTACTCGGAGTAGTCACGCTGAACTCATTTAGTACGGCGAACTAAGTGTGGGACACACTGATTAGTATACCTTTACTCGGAGTAGTCACGCTGAACTCATTTAGTACGGCGAACTAAGTGTGGGACACACTGATTAGTATACCTTTACTCGGAGTAGTCACGCTGAACTCATTTAGTACGGCGAACTAAGTGTGTGACACACTGATTAGTATACCTTTACTCGGAGTAGTCACGCTGAACTCATTTAGTACGGCGAACTAAATCTGTGACACACTGATTAGTATACCTTTACTCGGAGTAGTCACGCTGAACTCATTTAGTACGGCGAACTAAATCTGTGACACACTGATTAGTATATCTTTACTCGGAGTAGTCACGCTGAACTCATTTAGTACGGCGAACTAAGTGTGGGACAAACTCTGACCTATCCAGTATTTATTTCGTTTAGTTGTAGATCTGTGTTGTACCATTTTCTTTAATTGTATCCGTACATTCTGACTGGAATACATTCACAGTTGGTCACAACACCGTCAGTTCAGTTACCTCCCTTTTACTTCATTCTATAACTTTTTGAGGAATCTACTTTTATTATACTTCGTAAAATATCAATAAAATTCAATAAAGTGATGACTTTTGTAAGTAGAAGTTCTATATTAATTTCATATTGGTCGACGTGCGTATAACGAATGTGAATTCAGGGAATATATATGGGGTGAATTGTCATATTGCTACAAGTTTGTATATATTTGTTAGAAAGAAAGGAGAAACAATAAATCAAAAGAATATCTGTATATAATGCAAATAAAAGTGTGGTCTCAAAAGGAAGGAAATATCTTAACCTTTTATCGTCAAACTCTCCTAAAAATATAGAATTTTAGCACATTTTCAGCTCATCATTAATATCGCTCATCGAATATAGTTTCCATGTAGACAATATTGCAAACAATGACAATATCACGAATCATTGGTGGCAACAACTGTGACTGGTTACATAAACATCTTATACCAGCCTCGGTCACCAATTTCTTATTAAATAACAATGTACATTTTTTTCCCAATGAGAATATTAATAAACACACAAGCTGTATAAGATGACATGTGTATTTTGCCGTATGATTTGTAGATAATATAATAATAAGAATTCTTACCGCCATTTTGTAGAACTGAGCAGCCCACTACGACGGATGAGGATGGACTCTGGAATGTTCAAAGTATCAACCAACGTACCAACACTACTGCCCACCCGGTACTGTTATCACTGCTGAGTTCGTGTGATCGAGATATCCACATCCTTGTTATCTCCTCTTAGTTCTCATGTGTACGTGTCTCGTGTAACTATATGTGGAGACGACCGGTATCTATATACATCGGTATCAGCGCGTACGTGTGCACATGTGTCATAGTATGTGTTGTATTTGTTTCTAATTACAAGTGTATGGTTCACATATATAGCATATATATATAACAAAGGGCTGATCTGTCACTGAGACCATTGGACCAGGTCTACTTTCAGTTTAATTCTCTGTCTATTATTGAAGCATTAATTCTTACAAAGTGGCTTTTAAAAGAAGTTCAATTACATATGAGATTTATGAAATGACTCTTTGCAGTTTGCTTTTAGTAATGCTAGTTCGAATTTTAAGGAAACCTCGAAAACTGAGTTCCATTAATCTCTCAAGAAATTAAGACTTTTGTTTATCACATCAACGAAATGTCAATGCCAATTTGACGTCATTTAATCCTCAAGAGGATCAGTCCTTTTTACTTATATCATTTTAGATACCAATGAGGAGCATGCTACAAGCACGATGTAGAAGATTGAGAAAAGTTATGGTTTAAAGCAACTCTCCCAATTTTGACCCCATTTGACCCCGTCATTCAGCCCCCAGGAGATCCGTCCTTTCATTTGTATATCTTTTGATCCCACGGCTAGGCACGCTACCACAGCAATTTGGCAGAAGACTTCCTAGAAGTTTCAAGATGTTATTTGAAAAAAAAAAAGAGCCACTTAATACAAAATACACGAACTTTTATTCAGCGTGGTATTTTAAGGAGAACATGACAATACTTGGATTCGACGTAGATTCACATGGCAGGTGTCACCGATGGAGCAGAAGACGCTTACTCTTCTGAGACACCTGGTCCTATTTTCTTTGTACCTTTTGAAGGGTATCTATATAACTCACCGTAACTCATTGTTGTCGGCGTCATACCATTAGTCTTCTCTTGAGTACTACTATTAACGCATCTACCATCTACTGTTTAAAGCATTCATTTGTCCCCCCCCCCCCCAATTTATCGATTTTGAGTTGGAATTGTGGTTTTGTTGACTCTTCGGTATGTTCTTTTTTATAAAAAAGTAACGTTGGTTCAGTAGAGCTGTTTTTACAGCGATAACTGACCCTCTCTGATACGGCCCCCGGCAGGGTCAGCTCTTTATTTGTATAACTTTTGATTTGATCCCTATGCCATGAAATAACAAGATTAAGTCATCTTAATTCTTGAGAACAAATGGGGGTGGGGTGGGGTGGGGGGAACCACCGTGCCATCGGAGGTGCTCTCTTTTTTCCCGCCACCGCTGGGGATCGAACCGAAATTCTGAGTCCGGCAAACGGCAGCTGTACATGGTATAGGAGTTAATCGGTAGCCGCAGAGTTGCGTATTTTTTTAACCGGAAATGAAGTATGTGAAAGTGAAAGTGGAAGTTCAGTGTTAACAAATATATGACTTAGTTGTAGTGGGATTTACATTATTTTAAAAAGAAATAGGAGGTATATAGGGGTAAGTGGTGGAGAAAGGGTTATTAGTATGTATTTCACAACGGAAGGAAAATAATTCCTGCATGTATAACTTACTGTTTAGTCATTAAAATGTTTAGATCTGTAGGTCTTCCCTGATTTTCTTTAAATATTTTCAGTAATTTTATTAAATTGAATTACTACACCTACAAAAACGATCAGAAGCCTTTGATAGCGGGTTCATGAATTCAAACACTCAAAACAATACTTGTAAAATTACTTATGAAAACTCTTTTAAACAATCAATGTATGTGGATTAAATGTTTATATTATCGAGGACATATATTACATCAATTTTCACAATTATTACACATGCAATTCACAAGAATTTAAAATAACAAATTTACTTTAGGTTATCGACATTTATTTATTGTTTCAGATTGGTAATACACAAGTACTTACTTTCACAGACCCATCTTCAGTGTCAATAATAACACCTGTATTTACTATTACAGACAGGTTATGAATTTTAATCATTGCTTCAGACTGGTTATAAATTTGTGTTAACTTTCACAGACATGTAACAGAAAAATAACGTTGTTTAAAACTGTATGATTATATATGTGGATTTAATTATATTTATTATCAACGACATGTTTGGAAAACTTATCACCTGTTTCAGACTGGCTATAAAACTTGTATTTTAACTATCACAAGTAAGGTTATCAATTTTTAATTATTGTTTCAGGCTAGTCATAAACTTGTGTTAACTATCACAGACATGTAAGAAAAAAATATTGATTGCTTCGACTGGTTATAAACTTATAATTATCTTAACTTTCACATA